ATAAATATATTTTGCGCTTTTTGAAAAAAAAAAAAAAAATTATCAAAAATTAGTTCTTAAATAATAAATAGAATAATAAATATAAATAGTTAACACACTGTTTAACGGGTATTGGGCCTGGTAACTAAATTAACCGTGAGGTTTTCTAGTTAGTTACCAGCCTATTGATTTTAAATTTTAATTAGAGATGAAAGATAATTTGTTTGACAGAGCCAAATAAAATGAGATTAAAGCGCATATTAATTAACATAGCTCTAATTTGTCTCAAATTGTTTTTTTAATAAATATTTTTTTACCAATTTTGAAAAACAAAAAACATTTAGGTGTTTAAGTTGTTTAGGAAGTTCTTTCCAGAGGTCAATAAATGCAAAGGAAGTCATTTGTTTACCATAGTTTGTTCTAACACGTTTTTTGTGTAAGTTTTGCTTAGATGAATATCTGGTATTGTAGGTATGTACGTCACTAGTATATTGAAATAAACTGTCAAATATGCGTGGCAGTTGGCCTTTGTGCCATAGATGAGTGAATTTTAAAGCACTGAGTCGATAAAGGTTATCAACACTGAGAATTTCTAACATATTTAAATATGGAAGAGCACTCTTTGTGAGTGGTCCGTGTGTTGTAGCAAAGAACATAATCCTCATAACTTGATTTTGCTTTGTTTGTAACTTTTTTAAGTTAACCTTATAGGTACTTCCCCAAGCGGTAATGGCGTAAGAAATATGAGGGTATATGATATTATAATAGAGTTGTTTGAGCTGAGTAATTGATAAGTAATGTCTTAACTTTTAGAAGATACCAATACCACGAGATACACGAGAACAAATATATGGGATATGGTATTTCCAAGATATGGTATCATCAATCATAACCCCTAAATATTTTATATGATCTTTTCTTTCTAGAGGAACACAAGAACCATCTGCGTTTTGTATTTTTATGTCAATTTGCATGTCCTTTTTTCTAGCTGACTTAAAGGGGCAGTGTCACCATTTGCGCATCTTTTCTGCGCACTCTTGAAAAACGTCGGAAGGTGTCGTAAATTGTTCGGTTTTTACAATGCGCCATATTGTTTTGCCTTTTGGTTGTTTTGCATAATGTCATCCACGGTGAGTAAAAATCTCCATATTTTGCATTTTTTAAAAATATATTTGCATTAAACGATTCGAAAGTGATAATATTTTATATCACCTTCTGTAGGTTGACCGTTGTGATTGTAAGAGTTCTTGTAGCGTTAAAAGAAAGGAAAACGGAACGCGAGGTTGTCCTTGCAAGGGCAAAAATATCAAGTGTTTGGCGGATTGTCGGTGCGGTACACGTGCTAAACCTTGCAAGAATCAGGTAAATATGCAAGGCCAAACCAACTATGGCCAAACTAATACAACCATGTTTCAAGTGAGAATTAATTACGAATATTTTTCCTACAGGAGACTAGTGAGAATGATAGAGAACGCGAAAGCCGCGGCAGACGAACTCAAAGGAATCGACAAGGTTTTCGACTAACCCACAAACCTGTGGAGACTGAGGAAGTTCAACGGGAAAAGGAGCATGAAGATGTAAAGGTAGATTACTGATCTGTTGATACAAGATTAAAACCAGTAACTGTACAAAAAGAGCATTGTCATTCAGTGTGGCGATCGTGCTCGATAGAAGATCAACACGAATTGTTTGTAGCGCCTATAATGTTTTATAATATGTAGTTGGGTATTGGCAACTTGACTCTACAGCTTATAATATTACTGAAGATATAAATGTCTCGCTGTTTATGTGTTGAACACTGTACGTGCCAATGCCTGAATTTGTGACTGATCAGCAAGTCACAATTAGAAAGCTACATTTTATAGATTTTTGTCTTGCTGTTCATAAATGATCCTAACCAAATAATTGGACTGTTACTAGATCTTCGATTTCAAAACATGCATAGTTTCCATATACCCAAGCCAATAAAAATTGTGCGTATATTTTAGACCTTGATAAATTCACTGGATGAAAATATGGTGAGAAAATTAGCCATTCGCAGTCTTCGTAGAGGTATTGGCAGTATGGACTATATTGACATTCTCTTGATCATGGAAGATGATCTAGATGATGAAGTTGAAAGTTTGGGTGAATTTGGGCATTCATCTCATTCTGAAAATCCCATTAACCCAGATGAACCATCTGAACCAACTGAGCAGTCCACCCCCACCACTCCTTCACAGGACACTTCTTGCAGACCGGTGCCAGATTGGTGCAAATGTGGAAAATGCAGACCAATGCCACAAGAAGTTGAGAATAAATGCTGTAAGCAGAAAACATGCATCACCCAAACTTCTCGGTTTGCCAAACTGTGTCTTGATCCAGATGTGCTAGAACTTTGTATTCGAAATACAAGTGATATCCGGAATGATAGAGAAGACAATAGCACAAGGGCATTTCGAAAAGCTGCTTATAGACAATTTATCTTAGCACGCCATGGCCACTTGGGCAAAGGGAACAGAAGAGTTTGCCCTTCTTGTGTAGTTTTAAAAATTCGAGAACGATTTCCATCAATTACTGGTGTTTATATGGGATTTAGGGAGCACTAATATGTAATATATCCACAAACGCCAAAATTCATTACCCAGAAAAAAATTTAATTGCCATTACCATCGATGCAATGGAAGTGTTGATAAAATATTGCACCAATTCCTTTCCCCAAGTTGATCAATTCATTTGATAGAAAATTGGTCAATGTTCTGTTACTTTTAGATGAGCCAATTAGATTTCGTTTCAGAACCGATTGACCAATATGAAATGCAAAGGAAGTAAAAAGAAATTTGAATTCGTATAAATTGATCAATTTGAGGAAATGAATTCATGCAATATTTTATCAACACTTTCATTGCATGGACAATAATGACATGGTTTTTACCATGTGGGAAATTTATAAAAAACAATAATAGGAGTTTAGTTTCCATGCAAAATCCATTTACTGGAAATTTAAATTTTTTCCTTTGTTTAAGTGGCAGTAAATTTGTCTGGTGTTAGACGGAGTAAAATAGATGAATAGAATGGTAAATAAGCACTTTACAGCACTGAAAATAGGTGTTTTAGCACACAAATAATTTAGTTTTATCATGTAATAATATACACTATTTTACAACAGATTGTTCTGACTTTATTCCTTCGAAAATCTGCTTTTCCTTTCGGCGATTTCCTTTGTGGGAGGTGGTGGGACATGGGCTATGGTTTGTGAAATTAGTGCAGGGTTACTTAGATTTAAGGACACATTTCGCGTGACACTGTCCACATCATCCAGTCTCCTTTTCAAAATTCTGGAAATGAGCACAGGAATGTACTCATATCCCTTTGCCACTTTGACAATCTTCAAATCCCACTGCCTGGTTCTGGGATTGTACTTTCGTGTTTTGCATTCATCCCCAGAATTTGTCTTTGCTTGAGGACGATTAACATGGTAATTCCAATCGATTGCAGTGAGTTGTTTCCTGGCCTTGTATGCTTTGTAGCTAGAATTAAAAGAGTTGAATGATTTATTATGAAATTTAAATTATACTCCATATCTAAAAAAAATTATTATATAAATTCAAAAATTAAACCCAACCTCAAAGGCATTCGCTTGGGTGTGTAAACCAAACTAAGGCTGTTGGCACATTCGATGCTGCCAGTGTGTCTACAAAGATAAAACAAATATATTTAGGTACTAACATAATAACATGTGTTGCATTTTATGTTATATTATGGCAGTTAACCCATTGAGTCGCAATACGTCCTGATGCGTCCTACTTTATTACTTTATTCTGTCTAACGCCAGCCGATTTTACTTGTTTTATTTTACTAAAAACCGCATTCTAATAAGATACTGATAGCCTGGGGTGTCTTAAATGACATATCTTACCTGAAACTGGTATAATATTTGAAGCTAGCAAGCAATTCCGGGTTAAGAATCACTTTTTGCAATTCACAGAAATCCTTGTCCCTGCGGTCAAACCATGCAAGTGTTTCATCATGATCCCCTTCATCATGGTCACACTCTCCTCCAAGCCATTTGTGTTCATTGCACACATGGTGCAGTAATCCAATCCATTTGTCCTAAAAAATGTAAATTGTTCAAAACAAATATATATATAGATTTAAAAATCAGTCGGTATATACCATTTTAACCCTGGTCAACCCATTGAGTCGCATTGCACCCTGATGCACCCTACTTTAGTATTTTACTCTGTCTAACGCCAGACGATTTTACTCTGTCTAACGCCAGACGATTTTACTCGTCAAGGGGAGAGCGCTGGCGCTTAATGGGTTAAAATTTAACCTGCTGCTTTGTTTTTTTGTATTTCTACATGCCTACTCATTTTATAACAAGTACAATCCACCTTTAGGAACTTTTGTTTTGACATTTTTCACTAACCCAGGTTAAGCTAAAAACCAAGTACCTTCATAACTTTCAATGCTTCTTCATCAGAAGTAGAATTGTTCTTTCTACACGCACTGGCACAGTACCAGAAATGCTTTATAATATGGCTGGACCAGTCTTTTACTTTCGACATCGCTTTGGGCTTGCTCAACTAAAATCACATATACTAATTTAGTATTTTTGCACAAGTGAACATAACAAATCCTACACGTTGAATGGTCAAATTTTACGTAACAAGCTGTTATATTCACCAACAGTGTCAAAATGGCGGCTACCCGTTTTGTGGAAGTTTACGGACAAAGAAATAAGCGAAATTACAGTAAAATAAATTCAGTCTCAAAAAAACACAAAAGCTCGTGTAAAAATACTAAAACAATTATTTGCCTCAGCCTCAGTGATTATCGGGGAATATTCACCTCGACTTCGTCTCGGCGAATCTTCCCCGATAATCACCTTGCCTTCTGCGAATAATTGTTAAATGTTGTTCAAAGCTGCCCCCAACAGAAACACAATCAGGATACATATGACATTACTGTTCTTATTACTGTACTGCCAACATATATTTGTTCATGCAGTTAATGGAATAAAGTATGAAGGGACCCACCTTTGCCAGACACTTCTTAATACTTTTAGCCTTGTGCCAAATATCGAGGCTATGGACAACACCCTTAAACTGGGCTTCTGGAAAGTAATATAAAAACAACATGGTACAGACAGTACAGTGGAATAGTTAAATGTTGGACCTCCTCATCACATACAGTACAGTATTAGCAAGTAATATTCACAATATTTACTAACCAAGAAGCCCTTTAACAGAAGTGGAAGCATCAGTCACCAACTCCACAACGTTGACATGGTCTGCATTTAGGTTTTCCAACCCACGCTTCACACCTTCTCTTTCCATATTAGTTGAGGCTAGACCAACATGCCTCTTATCCAGGATTTCAACGTCAATAATATAATTTGTATCAACTTCAACAAAGAAATAGCAAAGATTTTTGGCGTTGAAACCCGGGGAGTCACACTGGCCATCACCACCAACAACAATATCTTTACCAGCAAATTCACCAAGGATTTCCCTCCTCATCCAGCACCACCATTCATTGATTTCTGGGATTAAATATAATCGTTGGAACCTGAAGTATGTGCTCTTTGATATGAATGCCAAACCATAGAAATTAGCCAAACGTTCAATTTTACCAAAGTTATTGCCAGATAATAATAAAGATGCAGCCGCCTGAAGGTTGTTTACATAAAGTCCGTTATTTAGTTCATGTGATGAACAAAATCTATTCTTGTGACCAGATGTGCAAGTACTGTAAACAACAATAGCTGTGCCAACAAAGTGATAATTTATTGCAGGGACACCAGCACAACCAGCTGTCTGACAGCGAATTTGGAACAGTTGCAGCAACAAATCCAAAGAACAAACTATTTTGATATCTTTCACCATTCTAAATTCATGCTGAACATTGTATATTTCATCACCTCTACTCAGTTTAGGATGTGGCCCATACATTGTCTCACTTCTGCTACTGGCCACATCTTCATCTGACAAGGTTGGATTGTTGTTTGGTGGTTCGGACTGTTGATCAAGTGTTTCAGGATCCTGATCGTCATCAATAGAACCCATTGAACTGTTAAAAAAATTTGAAAAAAAATTAGCAAATTAGGTTTAAAAAGAAAATCATTTCACTACATTGCAATGTGGCCAACACTTGAGTTGCAATTACAATAAAAAATCGTTGGAATACTAAATTTACAAGTGTAGCCGTAATGGAAAAAGGAAACATTCACAACATATGTGTTGCTGGCATGCACTGTCCCTAGCTAGTTTGATTGATAAATGCATCTGACCAAGGCTGTATGCAGTATTTTTTCACCAGGGGGGGGGGCAGTAAAGTCTGTGCTGAAAAAAGTCCCGAATATTTCAAAATAATAATTAATAATGACATTCTAAAAATCATGAATAGAGTTTTCTCAGGGGGGAGGGAGCGGTTGCCCCTGTTGTGTAAGGCCCTGATCCAACCTTTGTCTAACACAATATGTCAACTTCCTCAGCAAGCTTACGACCAACATTTAAAAAATAAGTGTTAAGTTCGTCGCATATACTTTCCTTATCTGTATAGCTTTTTTATTCAATAATAAATAAGCTGTTTTATATCAGGAAAAGAGTGAGATACTTTCCTATTGACTATTGTTCCGATTAACTTCCATGTCGTTTTCAAGTTTCCTTTGTTTCTTTCTTTCAAGCCCCTAATCTCCTTCTCGCCGAATAAACACTGTACGTCTCTAGATGAGAAAAAAGACTACCAGTCATTCCTAAGGCCCGTCAAAAATCTATCACCCAGCGCCTGAAGATTGTTGAAGAGTTAAAGTTCTCACCACAGAATAAAGATCCATACAGAAGGGCCAGCACTTACATTGGAAGCTTTGAAGTTTCTGTCCTCACGCATGTCGCATTACGCATGTTGACTGCCATTTTTCTAGCGAGGCAATGACATTTTCTGGCCAAAATGACATATTCTGGCTGGCTGCTCCGCCTTCTGACCAGTAAACTGCATATTTTCGCATAAAAAGCTGAGGACACGTTGCACCGCTGAGTTGCCAATGTTACTGATCTTTATTCTGTGGTTCTCACACGTCTACACTCAGCGAATTTATACCAAACTATTTACTGTTTCACTTGTGGGACGTTAGATGATGAAATGCACATGCTCGTCCACATTAAGCGTAAGAGATAAAACCTCGCAAATCGTGCTATAAGTCGGAACACCTCGAATCGCACGGCCGTAGGTTCAATTCCTACCAGAGGACCTTGTGCTGTATTTTTTCGCAGTCGTTCCTTGTCAGGTCTTAAAGTGTATATATATACTCACTTGGATTACAAACCCTAAAAACAGCATTCTAATATTAATACCACCAAGTGAAGTGCTTGAGAAACCAGATCATTGAATTCCATGCTAATGTAATGCTTACTTGTCGATGATTTCGGTGTCGGGGAAATTGACGGAGCAGGATCTGGTCTAGTGAGTGGAGGTTTCTAGAAATTATTAAAGAAAAATATTTTTACTGGAATGATTGCCAGTGTTCATACGTCCAGTCGTCCGGATATGAGGTGTGGAACTTTTTCCTATGTTTAATTAACTCTATCTGTCTTTCTCTGAGAAAAGTAGGCATTAACAATACTTTTAATTACCACTTCAATCCATTTTTGCTTCATGTTTTATTCAGTTCTATAATTATGTTCAGTGGCGTAACTCTCATTAGTTAGGGTTAGCTCAAAAACTATGGGCCCCGACAGTTAGGGGCCCCATCAACCGCGTCCTATCGCGCAGAAAATTAGAAAACGTAAAAAATGAAGGTTAAGAATCAATGAGAAAATGAAAAATTAATAATGCTAAATAATAATCCCTCCATCGACAACGGTAGCTGATATTTTTTATCCCATTTCAAATAAAACAAAAGTTATTCTTATTAGTTGTTACATGTGTTGGAGACTGTTATTGTTTTCGTCATGCATGGACACTGAATTTTCCAGAACATTCAATAAAAATTCGATATAAATATAATATCTCAGTCAAACAATGACATCAGTCAACAGGGGCCCCACACCAAATATGCCTAAGGGCCCCCTCTTCCTCCGTTATATACGCCACTGTGTATGTTGTAGTTTTTCGTACATTTAATTGTATACTGATATATTCTTTGGTATTTCTCTTTATAAATACACTTTGTTTTGAAGAAATCCATCTGAATGGTTTTTTCGCGTGATTGCTTTCATATCCACTAGTGTGAAAAGCTTGGTTTGTCACTGTCAGAGAAAACATACCTGATTATACCACATTGAAGGAATTTGAGAAATTTAAGGAACAATTCAACGAGAGATGAATGAACAATGTTAACTTATCAAGATAAGTTCATGCAGTTATTTGCTTATATGAATATAATTGTTATGTCTTTAATGTCTTTCCTGCCATTTAGTCATCTTGATGATGATGAATTCAATTTAATGATTTATGAATCCTCAACTGGGCCTGTGAGTTTTGATTTGGATAGGCTATTTAGCTTGGAATTTAATCCGTTGTTGCCCGGCTTTAATAAAAGCTTGGCTCTTTCCAATAATCTAGACCCAGACTTAAATTTTTATTCTGATGTTTCCAATTGCGATTTCTATACTGAATACAAACAGAACGAGAAATTAGCTCAATCTTTTATGTCTAATTCCAATAAGTAAACTTATCATGTTTTCATTTAAATATTAGAAGTCTTTTACGCAATTTCGATAAATTAACCTATTTAATTGCTGAAAGTAAACCTCGATTTTCATTCATCGGTATAACAGAGACTTGGCTTCGTGAAATAGAACATTCCGTTGATATAGATGGGTACAATTTTGTTCATGTTTGCCGACCAAAAAAACCGGGTGGAGGCGTAGGTCTTTACATAAAATCTGAATTTATAATCCGATCCGACCTTGCCTCTGGGGATGGGATGTGCGTGGAAGGTATGTTTGCTGAAATTAATAGACCAAAGGAAAAAAATATTATTGTTGGTGTAATTTATCGACCGCCTGACCAAAACATTGCTAACTTTATTAGCTACATTAATTCACTAATGGCGACAATCTCTGAAGAAAACAAACCTTGCTTTATCATGGGTGACTTTAACCTAAATTTACTCAATTGCCATTCTCATCAATGCACAAGCGAGTTTCTTGATATAATGTATTCAAACATGTTTTTCCCCCTCATCACACGTCCGACAAGAATTACTTCCCATTCTGCTACCCTCATTGATAATATATTTACCAATCAATTGGATAACTTTTTATTTAGCGGACTGGTCATTACTGATATTTCTGACCATCTACCTATCTTTTGTTATTATCTCGAGAAGTCTATCAGACTAGATAACGAATTTATAATTTTTCGTGATAAGAGTAAATCAAATAAATTAAAATTTAATGAAAGTCTAAAAAATATTAATTCGGGGAAAATCTTGACGGATATAATGATCCTAAACTTGCATATGATAATTTCCTAAATAAATTATAACTCTTGCTTTCCTTTTAAAAAAAGTGAAAACAAATAGGTATTCAAACAAACCATGGTTATCTAAGGGTATTATAAAGGCAATTAATAAAAAAAACAAGCTGTACAAGAAATGCCTTCGTGTTCCAACACTTGATAACGAAATTTACTATAAAAAATATAAAAACAAGTTAAACCATTTAATACGGATATCTAGGCGTAACTATTATGAAGCTAAACTTGTATCTGTCAAAACGGACATTAAAAGTACATGCAAAATTCTGAATGAAGTTATCAATAAGAAAAGGAGTAATAAAAGACTACCTTCGGTCTTCTCCACTGATAACGGGGATATTACAAACCCTATAACCATTGCAAATCAATTTTGCGATTATTTTACCAATATTGGCCCGAAATTAGCTAACAGCATTCCTGCCTCATCCCGCACCCCCATCTCTTTCATGAACGGTAACTTCATGAATTCGTTCTTCTTCCAAACTTCTGAACAAACTGAAATTGTTGAAATTCTAAAATCTCTTCGCTCGGAAACTGCTGCGGGCCACGATAAAATACCTATATGTGGTCCTTAAAAGAGTCCATAGAATTTATTGCAAAACCGCTGACTCATATAATTAATTTATCTATAGAGTCGGGTGTTGTCCCAGACCAAATGAAGATTGCCCGTGTTATACCAATATTTAAGTCAGGCACAGATAGCCTATTCCAAAACTACAGGCCTGTTTCGGTTTTACCGATATTTTCAAAATTATTGGAGACGGTTGTGTATAATCTGCTAATCAAGTATATCGATAAGTCTGGCATTTTATTTGATAACCAATATGGTTTTAGGAAAACTAAATCTACTTCATTAGCTTTACTTGATTTAGACAAGATAACATCAACAATTGATAAAAAAGAATATGCAGTGGAGATTTTTTTAGACCTCTCAAAGGCATTTGATACTATAAATCATGAAATTCTCTTCGAAAAACTCAATCATTATGGAATTCTTGGCCTGGCACTTAAGAGGCAGTCTCTGTAAAAGCGGTCCACTGCATTTCGGATCAGAAAATAGTTTTCTCCCAAACTTTTACCGTGAAATAGCACATACCAGTGAGTTATGAAACTGACTTTGGTTTTTCAATTTTCATAAAAATAATTTTTTTACAGCGCTTTAGCTCCAGGTGAACGTGTTCGCTGAATTTGCACTTTTCGTCGACTGAAAATTACACATATTTAAAACATTACAGCTCACGGAATATAGAACTTTGCACCATGATCTTTTTTCTTAGTCTTGTTCATTCATTTAAGTGCAAAATTCAAGCGAAATTTTGAATGTTGAGAGAAATACGGGGGGAGGAAAAAATACGCAATGATACTCGTTTTACGGCCTTCTTAAAATCACGACAAACTGACCCTCAGAAAATAGCTTTGATCTCCTAAGTCCAGCACTAAAAACCTAAAGCTTCTATTCCAATCTACTAATCTAAGGATGTATAAAAAGGATTGATAAAAACATTTTGCGCTTTTTATTTAGATTCCGCACAACAACCTCGAACTTTCTGTGTTTTTAATGCAAATTACATTTAGTTAGGCGGTAAATATAAACTGTATACGTAATGAAAGACCGTTATTTGCTTCAATTTTTATCGCATTCGGATCAGTTTAAAGCAGTAAATTTTTCTTATTTTCGAATTTAAAGTCCAAGAAATTTACTACTGAATGGTGCCGGACGGCTTTGCTAGCTGAAGTGTTTTATTGTTTGTGCAAAATACTTGACTGTTTATTATGCAAGCTTAATATTTTACCAAAATAGAATTTCAAAACAGCAATTTCGTTTTTTTTACTCAGTTCGAGTTCGGATAAAATCTTTTTAGAAGTATATACAAATTTATTATATACACAAGGTCTTGATATGAGGTACTCTGCAATCTGATTGGTTCTCTACTAGCAGGATATTAGCACATATCTTGCTAGTAGGGAAAAACAAAATGGCGGCTCAAACTGAATTTCCGACATTTTGCGAACGAGAAAATGGCAAGTTGTTCGCTTTTTATAGCCTTAACAGGATTAAAAACACAGCGAAAATCCCACAAATTGTTTGAAGGTTAGCAAATGAATTTTTAAAATTTAGAATGGTTAAAAATATAGTTTTTGAAAAAAATACTTGGCCGAAAGAGTTTTTTATAAAAACATAAAAATTAATAGAAAAATATTGAAAATATCCGAAAAGCAAAGTCTGTGAATTCAGACCTTGTGTATATAAGAAAACTCACTCTTGTCGAATACGAGCGATAGCTGATTAGGCGCTACGCGCCTCATCGGCTATCAGCTCATATTCGACTCGAGTTCGTTGAATAACTGTTAAATATCCGATATTCTTACATCACTTAATTGATTTAACGTAGGAAAAATAACCAAAACACATGTGCATATACCACGACGAAATCGACCGATCTTACTGAACGTGACTTAATTTATATTTTAAGGCTTAAGGCAGCAAGTGATAATATAATTTTTAAAACATTTTGCACTTTTATTTTAATATATTCTACATAGCAACCTCGAACTTGCTTTACATTAAGACATAAAAATAATTAGAACTATAATCTAGTATTTACCTGAATTGACGGGCGACTTCTAGAATGTCATTATTAATTATTCTTTCGGAATTTTTTTAGCGTATAAGACTGAGTGACCTATTGCCCCTATGGCCATGATGAAAAATCAAGGGTGGGTAGTAAAGAAGTAGTTGTAGTTCACTACTGTAGCGAACTACAATTTTCAAATAGCCAGTAGTTTTTGACTATACTTTCTGTAAAGATTGCAGCTCTCAAAACGCCACATTCCGCAAAAAGCTCTGAAAACTCTAAAAAGCATATATGCCATGCCTTCTGATTGAATCTTAAATTTAGACTTTTAAGTCATTAATGTGTTGTTAACTAATTAATTCGTCACATGCTTAAAAGCACGTAAAGATCTGATGTCGATTTCATCGGTAAAATAGGCCTACAAAGCTTGCATAATAAACAGTCAAGTACTTTGCACAAACACACTGTAAATTTCAGGTGGTAATTTTTACCCAAATTTGGGGTAATATTTACCACATTCAAGTGAGTATTTCATTAGGGGTAACAAATTACCCCAGAACTTTGGGGTAATTTCCATTAATTTGGAGAACTTTTGCTCTTATTAAAGAGGCAATGAATACGACTGACAATAACTGCTCTTTTACGGGAGTAAAATAATTTTATGGCGTAGAAACTGCCCCATGCATCTTGGGGTAAGGTTAGTTATAAGGAAAACTTACAAAGTGGTGGATTTTTAAAAAAGAAGCTTGAAATGTCCGATCATTGACTTCTTGAATTATAAACATCTGTTGTTTTTTAATGAAAAGTTTACTTTCCTGCGAAAAAGGTAAAACGGCGCGATCAAATGTATGGCGCTAAAGCATGAGCTACTTGCAAATTCACCGCCTACAGTTTTAATTAATACCGCGTAATTTTTCAGGGCAACCATCAGTTTATTTATATCCAGAAGCTTTACTTTCCTAATGCAATCTCAATTATAGTTTTGTTTAACACGCATTGCTGCTCCTGTATTTAGGGTAAAATTTAAACAGATAAATATACAGGGGCAGGGGTACATATATTAATTAAAGGGTAACATGGCGGGGGGATCATATAGGGGTAGATATTACCTCCCATGGATGAGGTAGCAAGAAAAAAAACAAAATGGCGGATTCGAGGAATGCACTGAGCAAGGAATGAGACAACAACATTGGTGGCCCAGGAAGTCTACTATGCATTGATACGAAAGATATTTTGATCGTACATAACAAAAGAAGTAAATTGGATGTAAGTATTGATAGTAACAGTATATTATGTTTATTGTTTGTATTTTTATAAAAACATATTCTAGTGTTGCTTTTATATAAAAACTTTATAGTGTTCAGTGTTGCGTATAAATAATAATCGCTCCAAAATATCTTGCATTTACAGCACTGATGTACGCTGTTATACTCAGATTTGCTAGAAGTATATTGATTATTAATTAATCTTGATGTTTATGTAACTGGCATTTGATATTTTGGGCACACAAACATTTTGGCATATCCTTGAAATACAGCATTGACTAAATGTAGTGGGAAAGGATATAGTAGCTGTTTTTGTTCAATTATCTTTGACCTTGCTGTGTTGTTCACCTCATATGCATTTAAATGGCCATTAAATAACACTATGCACAGTATGTCAGTAATGAACAATATCTTCTCCAAGTTCCTCTCAATTATGCATATCTCCTTCAGGACCACAAAGCATGGAGTTTCTTCATCATCATGACCAATCCACAAAACACACCCAACCTTGAATATTATTCCTTGAACTGAAATCCATTTTATCCTGAAAATGTCATATGGTTTATCATAATGGTCAATCTTCATGCATAGAACAAAGTAAGTTTGACATTTTGTTATATAATTATTTTTGTTATATATTTATATAATTACATTGATTGTATTTCATAATTAAAGTTAAAATCTCATGTTTCACAAAGCTTCCTGTGTGGGCGGCCGTCCTGCACTGTTTGTTGCTAAGGTGGTTGAAAATTACTTTTAATATTATTTTTTGTCAAAGAAGCTCAGAAAGGATTGTACACTGATTTATACTATGTTGTATACTACCGGGCGCTCTCACATGCTCCCGAGCACTCCGGGCAGTATTTAGTAGGACCCATAAAAAATATTAAATACAAGTGTAATTATATAAAGGAAGTGGAAATGTTTCAATATAGTATTTACACTGGATATGTTTGGAACTAACTCGAGAGTCTAACATTTGGTAAACTCACTTGATTACAGTAATACCTGCAGAAAATTATTCTTTAAATTTATGAGTCATTATTTGCTTGATATTAAGTATTTTGCATTTTTCGTCTTAACAGAGTAAGGGTTATGAGAGCTACATAGTTTTACACACATCTTTACAGTGTGTAGGGTTTGTGAGAGGAAAATTACAATTTAGCTTGTGTTTCAGACCTCGAATGGTAATCTGCCTTAAGTGTGCCCTGCCCTGCATTATTACTTTTACTCTGTGATCTCTGTCAAATACCAGACAGTTTGAATCAGGGGCAGAGTTGTGCTATTTAAATGGGTTGGTCAGCTTAAATGATGTAAGTGAAACATGTTTATACTGTACATACTTGGTAATATTAGTAGTCTGATCTATACCAAATTCCTGCTCTTCTAGTAAATTATAGTAATCAAGATCTCCGGCACAGAATGTTGAACCTACAATGACAACACAAATAGCATCTAAGTATATCAGAAAGATTCTTCTTGATCCAATGATGTGCACTAGTTACTAGTAGTTATTAGATATGTGGGTATCTGTATTACAGTTAATGGAAAGAGCATAGAACCAGTACCTGGTCCAACTTCAACGCCTTTCTCAAGGAATCCTGATTCATGGTTAGCAGATTGTAACTGGTAGCACAGCCATTGTTGGTGCCACATAGCCAAAGTAAAAGGTAAATTGGTGTAGTTTCCAATCACAGTGCTCAACTTTTTGAAGTAATGGTGTTTTGCTTCAAATCGCATGCACCAAGCTCGTACCAGAGGTCCCATTCTAAATGTTTTGAAGAATAATATGTTTCTGGTAATGAGAAAATAAGATTCATATTCTGGGCAATAATTGTACAATATACCAGATTTGATGATATATGAATATTTATATGTTTTACTGTTTTTGCGAAAGTGCAATTTTTTGAAGTAGTGAAAGTCAAGCATGAAAAGGGAAATGTACTGTATTGTGATCAATACAAAACAAAGTCTAAGCTAGAGGTGCACTGAATCTCAATTCCAGCCGGTTAGTTCTGGCCGGAACCCTGATGTTCTAGGGTTTCCGGTTCCGGGCCGGAACTAATAAAAAAGCATGGCTGGAACTGGAACTATCTTGTTTTGAGGGGAAAAGAATTTAATTATATTATAGAATAGTTTATTTATGAAAAAGACAGGGAACAGAGATCCGCATTCATATTCCTGTTGGTTTTCATATAAAGTATGCATCACAGCATCACATAAAGATGATAAAATTTAAATGTTACATTTTATCTAACTCCTGCAGAAAAAACGCATAAATTTCAAAATGCTGAAAGTTGCACAAAGAAACTGGTCTTTGGCTTCACCAACAACACAGTAAGAGGTACGTCAAATAATATGCATATATTAGTCTAAGTTCCGTTCCGGCTGGAACTTTTTTTTAGTTCTGGTAGGATCCTGAAATGTTTATGAAATGTCCTATGTTACCTCATCGTGGCAGTTGGCATACGTACCATGAAATGCATTTTCGGAATACTACTGCATTCTGGATAAAGCTCTCTAAATTTGTGATGGTGGTCATTGATAAGAACCTGCAGATAGGCAACTTGATCCTTTGATATAACAGGTGCAAAACAAAGTGATATGATCTCTAATAGCTTTAGATAAAGAATCCACCGGGCGTTTTCAAGTGGAATTAAATCTCCAATTATGAGTGGTATGTGTGTTGCCAAGCACCACATCTGGACAGCTGGAATAAGTGTGGAAATACATTATCATTCATGTAATCAATTTAAAATACAGTATGAAAGTACATTGCAACTGTACAACTAACCATGTTGTTTTAGACTGTTGTCATTTGATGAAAACTTTGCTTCAGTTATTGGTGATGGTTTGTTGGTGTCATTGTAATATCCAAAGTCATATTTGGCAATTCGATCATTCAGGATCTTCAATGTGAGGTAATGTTCCACTTTGATAAAGTTTTTCAACATCCCCCTTGTTTCATATTGCAACACACCCTCTAAAATGTCATGCATTATGTCAGGTGGCAAACCATCAACTACATGATAATAATTGCTCTCAGTTAGACTGGACTTTCGATTAATGCCATATGTTTTGCTGAAGTGTTCTCCGTATTTTTGAACTTGATCAGCTTGGATGTTGTAGCTTTCCTTGGTTCGTAAAACAAATTCTTTTTCATGAAACTGAAAGAGATTAATGGTAATTATTATTGATGATAGAAAAATTGTACACTGTATAATTATCTTACTTAGATCTGATCTATTTAGTTGGAAGGCAGAAGGCCCGTGGGTTTTAATGGCCAACTTAAAGTACAATACAGTAATATTTCTCATATGTTGTCTTACCTTAGATTTCATCTCTTCAGCTGTTGCAAGGCAGTATCGGCATGGCTTATTTGCACTGCAACTTTCTTTGAATCCCCCCAATAATTGTGCACCAAGGTTGTCTGCAGACGTGTATGCTATGGATCCAGTGATGTTCTCTTCACTTCCATTTATGGTAAAGGGATGACCATTTGGCTTTAAATAATGAGAAAAGGTTACGAGCTAATGTCATTGTATTGTTACGGTTAGCGTTACGATGAACTATCTTTTACTAGAGAAATGGCTGCTTTATGCATGTTCTTATGTAATTAACATTTTTCATCCGCAGTTGTGGTCATGTGGAAACTGTCTGTTAATTATTTTTAAAACAGTATTTAGTGCATACCTCTTCCAGCTTCTTCAAGTCTGTCATGAATGGCTTAAGAACTGCATCTATTCCATATTCTTTAATATTTGATGTTGTGCATAGACACAGAAGCTGAATAGCCTTCATAGATGAGCGATTCAAAGGATTAATATTACCCAGTGTGTAATAGAATGCTCCTGTAGAAAATTAGTTTAATTGTAAAATTTTTGCAATATGTACAATTAATACTGTATGCTGTTAATTATTAATATTATATACGCGTAGATGTGTTTTATCATTCATATGACTTGAAAACCAAATCCATCGAGCGCGACACATGACAGTTGATTTCATTTCGAAAGGTTGGTTATTCGTCTACCTGAAAAATAGAGCAAAATTCTTCAACGTTTCGAGCAAAGGCCCTTTGTCAAGAAGTGCATGGGCCTTGACAAAGGGCCTTTGCTCGAAACGTCGAAGAATTTTGCTCTATTTTTCAGGTAGACGAATAACCAACCTTTCGAAATGAAGTCGACCGTCATGTCACAGAATAAATACTTTTTACAGAAACTCCACTGCATTGTTTTCTGCGTAAGTGTGATTCGTCATGATTCGTCACTCGGCAAGTGCCGTAAAAGGCAGTCACCCCCCCCTGCACAACCCCCTGTTCACGCAGGGGGGTGACTGCCTCTCTTTACGGCACTTGCTGAGTGACGAATCATGACGAATCACACTTACGCAGAAAACAATGCAGTGGAGTTTCTGTAAAGGGTAATTATTCTGTGGTCATGTGCCGCGCTCGATGGATTTGGTTTTCAAGTCATATCTAGTCGATCTACGTGATCCTCTACGTGACTATCTACGTGATCTTCTACTGATCACGTCGCTACCTACACTGGCACTCCCTCGCAAGATCATTTCATTATTTCACAGGCTACAATAGTCAGTAATTATTTTTTTGCGTTACCAAGCTTGTGTATAGTTGCTCTTGATCCAAGTGGATTACATGTTTCCAGATCGTCGTAGTACAGCATTATTTGGAGAGCAGTAGGTTTTAGTGAAAATAGAGGATGCATTTTGAACTGATCACCGTCACAGTAATCTCTTAGGAGGCCATCACTGCTCGTGTGAGGATTGCTAATCTATAAATTATATAAAAAGTATGATATAAAAATTATATAATTTGTAACCTAAAATCACAATAAGAGTATGCTTTACCTCTGCCAGGATGAAGTCATCATTAAGGAGCTGTTGTAGACTATCCAGAAGTGGAATATAACATGCCTCATCATTAGCTTCAGTAGGTTGTAGAACGCCATCCCTTCTTCTGTACACTTGTTTTTGACCCAGAATGATTCTCCGTGGTTCCTGTATCGTAATAAATAATTACATTAAGTTATTAAAATGATAGATGTTCGAAACATCGTAGGTTACTTTCAATTGTTTTTTCAGGTATTCTATCTACTCACACGACGCTTGATGGATTGAAAGTTATCATAGGTCACACCAGTTTCTTATGGAAAACCTAGAAACCCACTTTCCTTCGTTTACTGCAAATTCCACCCCAATAGACCTTTACGGTAATTACGTCACAACTACGTGTATGTGAGGCTGAGGGTCTTAACTTCATTTCCATGCAGTTATGACGTAATTACCGATTATTTTTCCGACTTGAAACTCTAATGTTATGGATTACACAAGTAAATTTAGACCGCGTTTAACGGTTATGATATATTTTGGGATCGGTCTCAAGTGCGCATTTCCCCCTGTAAATCGTGTAAATAGGTGGAACCGGACGAGGGGGAGGGGGGGGGCATTTATTTAGGATGTCTTATGCCACGTGTATTGGCGAGGGTCTTACATGAAGGTGAGGTTAATAATACATGATGGTGATGTTCTACTCAGTCCCGTCGATTATGACTTTCATATTCGTAGAGTAATTAGAGAGGTTCAGATTTAACTTACGTCACCGCTACCATTAAGGGACCATTAACTAATCAGATCTTTCTAGTTTTACAGAAGTTACATGAAGTACGCAATGATTAGATAGACAAGCGCGAAGGGAACGAGGCAGCAGCATGTGGTACGAATGCAAGCCCATATAGAGTCAGTTTGCGAAGGTTTTGGGGGTACCAAAGAGTAATGAAGCCCCTATTTCTAGCCACTAATCGTTTGTTATAACTTTGGTTAATATCTTCGAACTATACCCTAGTGGTCACCAAATTTGACTACCCCCGCCTTATCCAGCTAAATGTTTGGTATAAAGACAATGAGAGGTATAGTGGCAGTAATCTGGACCTAAAATATACAACCTTTAATCCAAAATATTCTTTATAGTAACGCCATTGTTGAGATTCAGTCTCCAAGTTTCGAAATGGATTGGTTGTTGGGTTGGATTCATCAAAAATTTCTTGCAGCCCTGGCACGTTTTGATATTCCATATTTGCGTTGTTTAGACAATCTTTTACTTGTGATTCTACGATCGACAGTGTGTTGTGAAGGAACGTTTTTGTGTTGGCTATGATATTTTGGACAGTAGACCTCGGCAACGAGAGATCTTCTTGAATCTTTAAGATATATAATGCAGCTGATCTTGTATTATTTTCCCCATTCTCTTCCATTGGTTCATCTTCGTGTTGGTTGTTTTCATTTTCAATATGAATTTCATGGTCGTTTTGATTACATGGTACCTCGGCATGCCTTTCGGTTAAATGCTTTCGCCACGTATAATACTTTTTAAATGTTCTGGTGCAACCTTCTATGCCACACATGCAGTGAAAGTTCGGATCGTTCCTGTGACATCTTCCTATATGGTTGAGCAATTGACTGCGATTTTGTGCAGAAAACCCTCCACATATACTGCATTGCCAAGGCATCGCTGACAGTGATACTTAGACTTGCTACAAGTCGCTTCGTCACGCGAGCGACACTGTACCTGTTATAAAGGTTTGAATGATATATTCAAGATTTGCAGTTTTTGTTAGTTTATTTTACCTCATACAATTATCAATAGTATTTGAATGTCACTTACTTTAACTCACTATTATACTCTGAACTGTTTTTCCTTGTTTTTTTCACAAATCATGTCTTTTTCACAAATCCCTGGAACTCAACGAGGCATGCGCAAACGTAGGATCGTACTATTTCGCGCGAAACATTCCATATAAGGCGAACGAAGCCCTTAAAATTTATTCCACATTGACGGACGCCCCTCGTTTTTTGTACTGTCTTTTTTAATTTTCATATTATTGGATTTTATTGCGAGCAGAAAGAGTTTTTTTACGCTAAAAAGGATTTTGGACAGTTTAATAAAAGGTAAAAACTTGTTCTTTTTTATCAAATCGATCATATTTAAACTTACTAGAACATACAAGGATAATTTTAATCCTTTTTTTTTCGTTTTCGAGTTAAACATGTTCACGATTTCAGGTGTGTTTTGTCTTTTTAGTCTCGATTTACTTGCAGACTGTTTGCCGTTTTCTCTCAGTTTAAGTGAGTAAAATATCTTGAATTGCTCGAAAAAACTTGTTTTATTTGATAATTGATATCGTCTTTGTTTCCTTTTTTTTTAACGTTTTGTTTTGACACTACACAGAATGGACGAGAATTTGAGGGAAAAGTTCATCAGAACGGTATTGATGAATCTACGCTCGCCATCTTGAGAGATCAAAAGGCAAGTACATTTTTAAACTTTTGTAGGAAAACTACTTAAACTAAGGAAAATCTGAACAAAACTCATTAACCGCGAAGCGGGAGTGCGATTTGTAATCACAAGTTTGATTTCAAGCCAAAATTGCACGACACGATTTCACGAAGTGCAAGTCCAGTGTACCACTTTAGTAATATTATATTCATATTTTTGGAAATCATACTCATCAGAACGGACAACATTCTTTTTCAAATATGTGATAATGTGCATATATTTACAGTGAACTAGGGGAAACAGCGGAAGGCGGAAACCGTGTTTTTTCATGGAAAACGATTTTTCATGGACCTATACAAGGGAAGGGGGGCGTATGTACGGGGGGGGTTATGCATAGATGATCTTTTGTATTATTTAACAGTGGTGGGTTTACTGAGGGGGGGGTGTGCGCTCTATGCATGGATGATCTTTGTATTATTTAACAGTGGTGGATTTACTAGGGGGTGCAGGGGGGGGTGCAAAAAATTGGCATTTGTATTATCGAACACATGGTGTGTGCCTCGAGCAAACAGCTAAGAAGATGCTATCTAGTACGAATTCATGGTAAGCTGAAAATAGTTCTGCAAATAGAATCTTATCCACACAATGTTTAAGATATTAATTTTGAGGATGCAAACATGAAATACGAGTGCGTCGAAATCAGTGATTTTATACTCATAACTCATTTGGGAAAATGGCACGTTTTCAAATGGATATTGTGGAAAATTGAGCCCTTCGCTTCACCTTGAAATAGGCGGTCTAAAAACAATGCTATACCTTTCTTTTATTCAGTCATGACAAACTTGAAGGGTGGGGGGGGGAGGGCTCGTATGAAAAAGCTTTCTGACTGTTTGAACCATAGTCATCTACAGGACCTTATTTGTGGCTTTAAAAATGGTTAACACTATTTGTTTGGATTAAATATACCTAATGGCTGATGAATGTTCTGGTTCGTAATTAGTTGAAACTGCCCTCAGAATGCGGCAAACAGCACTTCCGAGCTTTATTCAAAATTTTTCTGGGGGGCATACTCCCAGATCCCACTGGGCAGCTCGCGCCCCTGGCGCTTGACCGAAACCTCGCGCCTTCGGTGCTCGTGCTCAAGTCACCATTGTGCTGTGCACCCCCCCCCCCCCTAAAATTCAGGGCTGGATCCAGCACTGTTATTTAATAGTGATAAACAAGTATAATAACAATAGTATAGGGAAGAGGGGTCCTGAGACGGGCGGTGCGGGCGGTGCACTTAGCACCGCACATGGCGCGCTTAGCACCGCCCATGACGTCATCGATTCTTAAATATTTTAATTTATTCAGGTCATTTTAATATATTTAAGCTTTGCCGTTTGTTGTTTACTCGGCTGTTAGGGACGGACCATTATTTTTTGGGAGGGGGGGATGAAAAATTCTTAAAAAAATTGTTTGCAAAGACAAAAAAGTGCAAATAAATTGTTTGCACACATAGAAAAGAGGAAAAAAATAGTTTGCAAGCTAATGAGATTATGCAACATCAACCAAGGTTAATGACAATGAACAGAGTGCTCACCAACATACCCAGGCTCTTCACTCCAAAGCCCTGGGATGGGACACGCTGGGCACATGTTGCAATCTACATATGGGTTAAATATTAATCTATTTAATACAGTCATTTTTTGGGGGGGGGGGTTGTATTTTTTGGTATTTTTTGTATAAAATAGGTAATTGGACAAGTACTGGTGTAAGACATTGTGTAGCGTAAATGAGAGGACCAGTATCAGGGCCTTTTTTTACATACAAGCGGTGGGGGGGGGAGATGTCTGCCTTATGCCCCCCTCACAAAATCACATTTTCCTTTTCATTGAAATTGATAAACAAAAAGTAAGTTTTAGGCTTTATCCTTTCTCCTTGTTTAACAAAATCGATTTAAATTGTTACGTTTTTCTACCTGGCACTAAGTAATGATGATAAATTATTAATAATTTTTTATTTTTTGTGCGTTTTTTCCTTCTTTTATTTCAAATACAAGTATACTTAGCATAAATTTTAAAGCAAATTTAAATGCTCAGAATGCAGGAAATGGCATTTCAGGGCTTCAAATTTCAAAAATTTTCTGGGGAAATATGCCCCCAGACCACGTGGCCATCAGCCATTCCTATCCTCCTCTAATATATTATCTCACAGAAAGGTCCCCCCCCCCTCACACGGGAAAATCTTTAAAAAAGGCCCGGACCAGTATACCAAAAAAACTATTAAATGTCTGTTTACATATTAAATTTATACTTCTGACAACACCACATGTTGTTCGATCACCAGCGCCGTAGCAACCGGGGGGGGGGCTGCAGCCGCCACAACAATTTGCTAATAATTATTCATTTTTCAAAATCATGCAGACCTTTATCATTTAATTCATGACAAACTGCAAAGAATGAAGATATTACCCATACTTTCCTGCAACTTATCCAATATAAAGTTTAGTACTACAGAATTGTAAATTTCGCTGTTTTCTGACCATCAGAATTCTGTCAAATCTTCCCCAAAGTCCAGGAAATGGCATTTCAGAGACTCTAAATTTAAAAATTTCCTCGGGTCTTCGGTCCCCGCTTTCAGCCCCCCCCCCCCAATCGAAAAGAGCTTCCTACGGCCCTGATCACACATGCAATAGTGTAATCGGGCACAAATTAAACTATATATATATATCAATTTATAATGAAATCCACAGCAATCAGATGGACAAAAAAATTGTTTGCAGAAGCAAGCAGGTGCAAAAAAATTGTTTGCAACGACAACAGCACCAAAAAAAATTGTTTGCGTTGACGAAATGTCCATCCCCCCCCTCCAAAAAAATAATGGTCCGTCCCTTACAACAATTTATTTATTTCTGGCTTTTCTCTACCGTTTATTCGTTTTGTGAGAAGTTTTACTTCGTTTATGGCTTTCCGAAAGCGAGCACTTTACTGATATTCGTTTTGGACGAAGCTTTACTTTGAAAAACCTCTTTAAAGGTATGTTTTTGAACAAACTTCGAGAACTTTACTGATATTCGTTTCGCGAGAAGTTTTGCTTCGAAATACCTACTTTTGTGTAAACTTTGACGAATATTAAATAAACTTAGACATGATTTGTTTCCCCTGATTATTGGTCTATTCCATAGTAGCCAAACAGTCCAAACCAGGCTAAAGAAGCTAAAAAGGCTCCGGGTTTCGCATTAAGACCCCATTAGGTCCGATGGCAGTGTTTTGCCATTGATTGTAGTACGTATAGATCTTGTTAGATTTTCCAAGGGAGGAAAAAGGGGTATGGCGAATGCGAAATTGTCTACATTTTTAGAGCAAAATATTAGTTGCATAAATTAACACATGGATTAACGTTTGTAACCATATATTTGTTTTTAAGTATAACAATTATTTACATCAATAAGCAGTTCTTAAACATATTGTCCAGCCTTTACACAGTTTTTCTAGTTTGGAAAGTTCTGGTTTATATTAAAGGCCAATCAGGCGAGAATACAGGCCAATCAGGCTAGAGTACAGGCTAATCAGGCCAAAGTCAGGCTATGCAGGCAGGAAAGGTCAAACCGGCCAAAATGGGACACACAGCTACCCCTAACCCCCATTAGACATATTATATGATAGGTCTTGCTATGAAACAGACTTTCGGGACGCAAGGACGCTTAAAAATTTGTCCCATAGCAATTGCCGACGTCCCGTTTGATAAACTGTGTGTGTTCGCCTATGTAACAGTCTTTCGAGAAGCAGGGATGCGTTAAAACGGGTCCCGCTGCAAGGTCCCGGAGCTTTGTTTGATAAAATATATAGATCTACCTAACATGTGTATAGTCTTACGGGACGCAAGGATGCCTTAAAATGTATCCCACAGCAAGGTCTCATGCTCCGTTTAAGAAAATATATAGGTGTTGCCATTTTCTATCGAGGCACTAAGAGCCTTACGAAGTATGCGAAGCAAAATGCGAAGAGAGCGAGGCAAAATGCGAAGAATGCGCTAGCAAAATGCGAAGATTACAAAGCAAAATACGAAGATGCACAACCAAAATCGTGTTCCCTGGGGTTCCCTCAGGATTCTCTTGGGGTTCTCTGAGAGCTTCCTTTGGGGTTCCTACCGGGTTGTCTTGGTTTTGATTTGTCAAAATAAGGCACCAATCTTGGGTCGATGTAGGGTCGATGTGAGGTCGATGTAGGGTCGATGAAGGGTCGATGTAGGGTCGATGTGAGGTCGATGTAGGGTCGATGTAGGGTTGATGTAGTGTCGACGTAGGGTCGATGTGAGGTTGATGTACATCTTCCGAGCTGGACTCGAACTATTGTCCCACATCGACCTCACATCGACCCTACATCGACCCTACATTGACCCTACATCAACCCTACATCGACCTCACATCGACCCTACATTGACCCTACATTGACCCTACATCGACCCTACATCGACCTCACATCGACCCTACATCGACCCTACATCGACCTCACATCGATCCTACATCGACCCAAGATTGGTGCCTTATTTTGACAAATCAAAACCAAGACAACCCGGTAGGAACCCCAAAGGAAGCTCTCAGAGAACCCCAAGAGAATCCTGAGGGAACCCCGAGGGAACCCCCAGGGAACACGATTTTGGTTGTGCATCTTTGTATTTTGCTTTGTAATCTTCGCATTTTGCTAGCGCATTCTTCGCATTTTGCCTCGCTCTCTTCGCATTTTGCTTTGCATACTTCGCATTAAGGCTCTTAGCGCCTCGATAGAAAATGGCAACACCTATATATTTTCTTAAACGGAACATGAGACCCTGCTGTGGGATACATTTTAACGCGTCCTTGCGTCCCGTAAGACTATACACATGTTAGGTAGATCTATATATTTTATCAAACAAAGCTCCGGGATCTTGCAGCGGGACCCGTTTTAACGCATCCCTGCGTCTTGAAAGACTGTTACATAGGCAAACACACACAGTTTATCAAACGGGACGTCGGCACTTGCTATGGGACAAATTTTTAAGCGTCCTTGCGTCCCGAAAGTCTGTTTCATAGCAAGACCTATCATATAATATGTCTAATGGGGGTTAGGGGTAGCTGTGTGTCCCATTTTGGCCGGTTTGACCTTTCCTGCCTGCATAGCCTGACTTTGGCCTGATTAGCCTGTACTCTGGCCTGATTTGCCTGTACTCTAGCCTGATTGGCCTGTATTCTCGCCTGATTGGCCTTTAATATAAACCAGAACTTTCCAAACTAGAAAAACTGTGTAAAGGCTGGACAATATGTTTAAGAACTGCTTATTTATGTAAATAATTGTTACACTTAAAAACAAATATATGGTTACAAACGTTAATCCATGTGTTAATTTATGCAACTAATATTTTGCTCTAAAAATGTAGACAATTTCGCATTCGCCCCACCCCTTTTTCCTCCCTTGGAAAATCTAACAAGATCTATACGTACTACAATCAATGGCAAAACACTGCCATCGGACCTAATGGGGTCTTGATGCGAAACCCGGGGCCTTTTTAGCTGCTTTAGCCTGGTTTGGACTGTTTGGCTACTATGGAATAGACCAACAATCAGGGGAAACAAATCATGTCTAAGTTTATTTAATATTCGTCAAAGTTTACACAAAAGTAGCTATTTCGAAGCAAAACTTCTCGCGAAACGAATATCAGTAAAGTTCTCGCTGTGCAAGCTGTAAACAAGAATATTTCACTTAAGCAATAGCCAAAGCTTATTTATTTATTCGCTAAAGTTTACATAAAGTTTGTTCAAAAACATACCTTTAAAGAGGTTTTTCAAAGTAAAGCTTCGTCCAAAACGAATATCAGTAAAGTGCTCGCTTTCGGAAAGCCATAAACGAAGTAAAACTTCTCACAAAACGAATAAACGGTAGAGAAAAGCCAGAAATAAACTGAAAATTGCTGTAACAGCCGAGTAAGCAACAAACGGCAAAGCTTAAATATATTAAAATGATCTGAATAAATTAAAATATTTAAGAATCGATGACGTCATGGGCGGTGCTAAGCGCGCCATGTGCGGCGGTGCTAAGTGCACCGCCCGTCTCAGAACCCCTCTTCCCTATACTACTAATAACAGTGATAAACAAGTGTTAAAGGGAAATGGCAATATATTTTTTTATTTTCTTATTTGAAAGAACTTTTGAAACTATTTAATAACTTCTTTTACCGATTTTTCATATCTTGGTTAGTTCTTGAAATATTTTCACTTGAAGTAATGAGATGTCAGCCATCTTGGATACATTTTTTATCTCATTAACGGTAGTTTTGGTGACGTCACAACAGGGATTAACCATATAAAAGTATTCGTTGCTGACCAAATATTGATTGGTAGATGTTTTAAAGGTTTCAAGTGTTCTTGATATTTCCAAGGGCATACAGAGTATAATTTTGAGTGCAAAATGATTAGTGGTTGTCTAGATAGAAATATTCCGTGACCCCTGTTGTGACGTAACATGCATATCTACAAAAATCCAAGATGGCGGACATTTCATTTCTTTATATTAAAATATTTGTAGAAGTAAGCAAGGTATGAAAAAACGGTAAAAGAGTTTTATATATGCTTTTTAATGCTCTTTCAAACGAGAAAATAAAAAATATATTGCCATTTCCCTTTAAGCATAGTAATAATTTAGTATTTAATAGTGACAATAGTGACAAACAATAGTAATAAACAAGTGCTTATATTCGCGTGGGCTTATATTCGGGTGGGTTTATATTTGGAATGAGGTGAGTGTTAGTACATATGGTGGGCTTATACACGGGGAAAGGGCTTATATTCAGAGGTTTACGATATGGCAGTGAAAAGATTAATATGTGTTTTGTTTTATTCATGCAGTTAACCGAGTGTGTTTTATTGAATGAAATTGAAATGAGCGTGTTGATGATATGTGGTATTAAGGCTGGAGATGCGCTGAAGATTAAGGCAATATGTAAAGATATGCCGTGCCAATCTGCAAAAACAAAACTGTCAAAAGAGAGCGTCAAAGAGGTATAAACTAAAGAAACAAGTAAAAAGTATGAAACGCGTTGCCGGATTAATATTTCACTTCGCTTCGCGCGAATAAAGGAAAATGAGATTAATTAACTACGATTCTAGGCCTAGCTTTGAACTAGATTTTTGTAGCGTAAACGCACTTCAGCGAGTTCAGCCTGACCTAGGCTGAAATCTGGGCCACCTAAAATTAAATACATAAAATATTTCTTACTGGCGGTATTTTTGGGGGGATTTTATTCAATGTTAATATTTTGCAACAACATTTTCCCAGGGAACAACCGGTATCACTGCAGATATGGTACAGAATACGGAAGATGATGAAGTCCCAAGAGAGGTCATTAGTGAGGTAGGATAGTGAAAGATTTGGTTACCAATATCTTTGCAGTTGACTGTTGAATATGTTTTGTATATTGTTACTGCAAGTATATTGTTACTAAAAGTACAAAAGATGCAACAGTGAAAAACAGCCTGAAGCCTAGACTTGCTACAATTTCGAAAAAAATAAGAAAACTTCGGAAACAGACTTTGAGAAAGTCTACCTTAACCCGTAAACTGACTTTCCACAACTTCCCAACTCTATCCATTATATAACACTGTAAGATGATTTATTTTAAAATTGTTCAATTGCCCATTCTTCCCATTTAAGCCAATTACAGGCGGACAAATTTTCTGTGACAAGTTTTTATGTGGCAAATTTTATTTGAGAATGGTATGTGTGTTCAGCAAATTTTTTGCGGCAATTTTTCTCTGTTGACCCACAGACTAGCAAAGTTTGCGTTTTGCCAATTTTTTCTATGACAAGTGCACTAGGCTAGCTTTTTGACAAGTAGATTTGCCATACAAAAATGGGAAAGTTGCGGTTGCGCGGACAGTACCAGCAAGCAAATAAGATTTGCGGTATAAAAACTTGCCATAGAAAACTTGATTGTCTGTAACTGGCTTTGGACCATCATGAATGTTGTATGCGCATTTTCATTGTCTTTGATTTGATTATAGGATGGATTAATTGAGTGCGCAAGTTTAAGAACTGAAGAAACACCTGGAAAAACAACTATGCCGTCACCTTTTACGTACTGCGAAAAACAGAATAGAATGTTTTTCAAAGACTACAAACTTCTTGAAAAGGTACAATATTTGCCATGTAGTTTCTATGTGTTTATTACGAAGGAGAATGTTTAATATTCTTAGTTCTCAAGTTAATACACTGTTTTGTACTAAAAGAACTGAACAGCCTGATAGTCAAGACACATTATTTTATAGTTATTTGAGTAGTTGTCGATAGTTTTCTTATGCTAATGCCCCTGTTCATTTTTTTTTCCAGTTTTCTCCTGGTGTTACTTATGCACTAGAGCATAATTGCTTGAACGAAAAACGAAGAAGTGAATTTATAAGAGATATATGCACAGACATATCATCAAATGGTGTTAACTTCTTAAACAAGGAAGAAAGGAATGTGGTGTCATTAGCAATTGTAACCAGATATCCTCATCTTAAGGATTCAATTGGCAGTGGTTTGGTACGTAAATGATCAATTAGTAGAAGTAAAAATTTTCGTTACTAATTGTTGTAAAAGACTGAAAATTTAAGACTTAGTTTTGTTTTACTTCCTCTACCAGTCCTGTCCAACAAGTGAATACTCATAGCCGATTTCACGCACGGGAAAGAAACCCTTGCGCTTAATGGAATGCCCGGACTAGCCGTAATATATTAATATTTACAACATAACTAGTTAAAGATTGATTACAGTTGGGTCTGTCCAGCTGGAATCGAACATAATTAAATTACATGTATTTTAAGGGATCGTGGTCAGAATCAATCAAGAATCGATTCAAACACGTGCGGAAGTACGCAAACAAGAAAAGAAAACTAGCAGAATCAGAAAATGGAGATCAAGCATCAAGTGTGGTTATGGTTACACCTCCCCAGATAGGAAGACCAAAAAAAGCTGACTTTTGGAACGCAGTACCAATATGTGTTGGTGTTACGGAAAGTATTCAAAAAGAACATATTGCAGAGCTTCATAAGGAATGGAATAAAGTTCTATCTATCCAAGACAGTGAGAAGATAAAGGAGCTGATGATTTCAACATACGACATACGGAGAAGAAATATATTAACAACAACTATACTGGTTCATGATATCATCTATACATATCCTCCTCTGGCAACAGTTAAAGGGGTATATATATGATTTAAGAATTAGTACGGAATATGGCATGAGTTGTGTTAAAATGAAATATTTAATTTTATTAAAATGAACTCCGATTTTAGATCCGTCAGGAATACTGCAGAATAATGCAGGATGATACCGCCATGAAAGACATAAAGACGACCTTTAGTACCTATCAAGGCGCTATAGTAAAATATTGTGAAGAATTGCAGAGGAAAAGCCCATTCATCAAGGATGCAATTAGGTGCCTTCAGGAAGGAATCAAGGAGGATATGGAAAATGCTAAAAGTAAGAATACTGGAGTATGTTCAATGCTTATATATATACTCTCGTCTGATGGTTTGTTTAGCTGCCTAAAAAGACAAAAAATACTTCTCGACGTTTCGACCTAAGGGCCTTCGTCGACGAAGGCCCTTAGGTCGAAACGTCGAGAAGTATTTTTTGTCTTTTTAGGCAGCTAAACAAACCATCAGACGAGAAGATATTCGAAGAAGCTGCTACGCTGCTACCAAGCCATCCTGGAACTGTTGCTTATATATATAGATTAACCTTTATGCCCAATGCGCGTGGTCTGTTTATGCGCTTTCTTTATAGATGCTTTTACTCTGCGTAAATATTTTATATCTGCGTAAATAGTTTTACGCTGCGTAAATATATTTTTACGCGTGTACCGTAACCATATATTGAATGGAAACATTAAAAAAATAATCTTGCGTGATGTTATGTTAGACTGCATGTGTGCACATGACGGTAACGTTTCTTCATCGTTTTCCATTGTTTGAAACCCCTTAGGAACGTTGAAAGGTTTCAAACAATGAAAAACGATGATGAAACGGCTTACGTTTTACATTGCTGACAGCTTTCATTTCCATGCATTCGTTTCTTCAAGCCTTAACTGTTAGTTACGTTTACTGAAAAAAAATACAACGAAGTGTGTCATGGCGTATAGGTCCAAATCCAACAAATTTTCTGCTTGTACTTTTTAACGTAACATTGGTCTATAGGTCAGAAATTGCGTTGCAAGTTGTATGGGAAATTGCCTGGTTAACTGATAGAAAAGCCAGTCAATAATTCTAAGTAAACCGCGGCAAACTATATTTTCACGCACATGTTTTATTAACGAAATGTATACTCTTATTGTTTAAATTTTACAGCCCTTGAAAATACCTGCGCTGTAATGTTGCTGCTAAGATTGCTTAGCAAAAAAATGAGCAAAGAAGGCAGTGATCTAATGGAGATTCTGTGTGTAAGTATTATATGCATCAATTAATGTATCGATTATCGCATATAGAAAATACGAAAAAGAGCTCATAACATATCTCCTCATTGCAGTATTTATTACTATACCATGTTCTTTGACATTTAGGAAGACGACGACTTAGAAGCTGAAATAAAAGCCACAGCGTACCCTAGAATAATTGGCGTTGGAGAAAACCTTCTCAAGCTTGACAAGGCAGTGATATGTATAGAAGGGAAAGAACTTGTCGACGTGACTTCCCGTCCCATGGACACGGTTTTATTTTCTTTATACGCCACGTATTATATTTTTTCTATCGCATATCCTGTTGATCACAAGGATCTATTTCTTTTTATAGATTCGATTATTGTTGGCATTCAACAGAATGCATGAAGCAGAATTAGCTTGTTTATATATGAGATATGTGGGACGTTTCCTGTACTCAAACGGGGATCCCGTTCATCGTCCTGTCCCGACAAACGTCCCGTTCCGCCTCCCATATAAACAACTCCTAAGCCTGCATGTTTTTTTTATATATCAATTGTAAAAAAGATATAGTTTTTTTTTGGAAGCAAATAAATTCAAGTTTATGTTCGCAATGTTCTCCTAAATTAATGGGTTAATTTTTACTCCATTATTATTTTACCCTTTACACTGTACCCTCCCAAATAGGGTAGTTTTTATCCCTTGATAATCCTAAATTTTGGGGGGTAATTTTTACCTCTTTTCAAATTACCCCTGCAAAACGTTACCCATTAATGATTTACCCCTTTAAATTATACCCACAAAAACCGGGGCATTCTGTGTAACTTTTAGAGCCCCTTACATTATAGGGTAGTTTTTACTCCCGAAAATTTACAGTGTGTGTGTCTTTGTCAAATAAGGATTTTCATTTTGAAATCAAAGCTATATCATTGACAGTATACCATCAAAGTCGCACATATGGACCAAGTGACCAATTTCATAAAAAGTTTAGCAAAGGATATTTTTATAAAAATACAGTCCAACAAGTCCATTTTCCTTTCAAAAGTTTCGTAATGAAGATTTCTTTAAAAAAAAGTGCGATCGGAAGGGATTTGTAGCAACAAGCCATAGAAATCTTTGAAAGACTAGGATTTCGTAATAGAACTTCTAATGTTTTTGCCCGGTTCGTCCGCCATCTTGGATTCTTCTATCTGAGGTCAGATGCGCTAGGTATACATCAGCAATCTAGGTCTATTATATCTATAGTTTGGCCAGAGCCCCTCAGTGTGATCAGTGTTCTACATAGTTAGATGTATGTTGTTTATATAATGGTTTTTAAGTTACTTTTATATAATTGGGTTTTAAATTTTACGGTAATTTTGCAGTTAAAATGTTGTCCCAAGCAAGATGGGCACATAGTTGTAGTAAACATAATTTTTCACACTATTGTATGAGACCCGATTCTACCAATTACATAACAAGACCCACAATGAATATGTTCACACATAAGAACGATAAAATAATGCAACGGGAGATAGTACAACGTTTACAAAGTGTTTTAGGGAATCAATCATGTAATGAACGACGTAGTCATAGAAGTTTTGAACATACGAAAACGATGATTGAGTTTGATGAAGCTTTGTAAAAGTTTTTTGTACATGCTAAACATATGTCGCGTTATACGAGTAGTGTGTGCTGACATCGAAACGGTACACTGTATGCTAATATAAAGTTTGTATTTGCAAAAACATCTACAAAATGGCATGGTGCAAACACGCCAGTATGTGGAAATAATGTTTATAGTTTTATTGTGTGGGATTATAGGTATTTCAAGTTATACTCGCAGGGTCGACTGTTTCATTTAATTTTTATGACTATCGTTATACCGCAAATTATCCCGTATTGGGTGGTGAGACAATTGATTCGCGTTTTGAATACGTGTTTAGCAGAAACGTATGTGATATGGTGAAAGATGATATGGATGTCATACAAGAAGTTCTGCATCATACAGGTGTATTGGTTACACTGTATCTAGTTCAGTTGGCAAGATTTTTTCAAGAATGGCGACAGTAACTAACGATAGAAGTTTAAGTTTATTAGATAAATGGTTGGATACTGTTTTTAATAGTAGAGAATTTAATAACGCTTTAGAAATGTTAAAGATTAAAATGGAACATGAAAATAAGGGAGTTGACCATATTTGGTATAGGGTTATGTTTTTTAAATTTAAGGTAGTTGACTATATTTGGGCATGACCAAATATAGGGCTAGTATGTTTATATATATATATTAGATTGTTAGATTTTTGAGAGGTGGAATTAAAATGTCGCGTTCAGGGTATGATACAAGTGTTGTGTGTAAATGGAAAAAACGTGTGATGCGGTTTTGTGGTTATAATGAGCTTTATGTTATTAAAATACAAAAACTTTAGAGTTATACGATCGTTTTTATGTTTTACAATTTTGGAATTGTCTTGCTAAAAATAAACCTATAAATGAAATTTTGTATATTGGAGAGTTTGTAGATAAAATAATAGTGTCAGGGTACGATATTTCATATTTGACTAACATTCGCGAACAGAATAACAAAAAAAAAGAGAAAGCATGCCGATACCCGAAAGACCTGATGTGTGGAATGCGAACGAACTATTTGAAAACATATTGTCGCGTTATATCTGGCGATATTTACATATTCACTCACAGGGTAAAATTAACATAGGCGTGTGGCGAGACATGTTTGAAATGATACTGAAACAATGTTATCATAATATTTATGCTATTTATGAAGAGGTGTTTAATGCATGGAATGAGGATGAATCGTTAGAGTGTACGTATCCCAACGATGTTAATTGTGGACAAATGTATTATATGGCTATGAAGAAAAGACATTATCGTAGTTTTACCCGCGCAGTTCAACGATATGAAGGATGTAGACGAATATGTTGATAATATGTATTTGACATCTTAACAACTAACATATATCCATATTATTGAAGCTAAGAAAAATATAATTGTTACTATAATAAAGAAGACTTGGAACTTTTCAAACTTTGTCCAACTGTAAAAAAAAAGACTGTAATAAATAAAACGCGTTGTATTAGTTTCATTTGTTGTTATAAAAAAAATAATACCTTGATCGTGTAAAAAAATGTGTGTTCACAGGCTCGTTGTTTTGTATACCATTCATTCGCGGATACGCGGTCAGTACTTGTTATACTATAATATTTCAGATAGATCAAATTCTCATGTTACAGGTAGCTATATATTTCAGTGGATACGTGGATACGCAGTCAATTTTATATAGTTAAGCGATCAAAAATGGTCAGCGGATAACTGGTTGACTGTGTATCCACGTATCCGCGTATCCACTAAAATATAGAGCTACCTATATATAGTATGAGAATTTGATCTATTAATGCTAAATTCACTGTATGCATGCCTCGTTCTCAAAATAACTAACTCACTGCGTATCCACGTATCCGCGTTTCCACTAAAATATACAGCTATCTATATAACATGAGAATTTGATCTATTAATGCTAAACTAACTGTATGCCTCGTTCTCAAAATAACTCGTCGACTGCGTATCCACGTATCCGCGTATCCACTAAAATATGTAGCTACCAATATAGCATGAGAATTTGATCTATTAATGCTAAACTCACTGTATGCCTCGTTCTCAAAATAACTAACTCACTAGGTATCCACGTATCCGCGTATCCACTAAAATATACAGCTATCTATATAACATAAGAATTTGATTTATTAATGTTAAACTAACTGTATGCCTCGTTCTCAAAATAACTCGTCGACTGCGTATCCGCGTATCCACTAAAATATGTAGCTACCAATATAGCATGAGAATTTGATCTATTAATGCAAAACTGAATGTATGCCTCGTTCTCAAATAATTCGTCGACTGCGTATCCACGTATCCGCGTATCCACTGAAATATACAGCTATCTATATAACATGAGAATTTGATCTATTAATGCTAAACTAACTGTATGCCTCGTTCTCAAAATAACTAACTCACTGCGTATCCACGTATCCGCGTATCCACTAAAATATACAGCCATCTGATATAACATGAGAATTTGATTTATTAATGTTAAACTACTGTATGCCTCGTTCTCAAAATAACTCGTCGACTGCGTATCCACATATCCGCGTATCCACTAAAATATACAGCTATCTCTATAACATGAGAATTTGATTTATTAATGCTAAACTAACTGTATGCCTCGTTCTCAAAATAACTCGTCGACTGCGTATCCACGTATCCGCGTATCCACTAAAATATGTAGCTACCAATATAGCATGAGAATTTGATCTATTAATGCTAAACTGAATGTATGCCTCGTTCTCAAAATAACTAACTCACTGCGTATCCACGTATCCGCGTATCCACTAAAATATACAGCTACCTATATACCATGAGAATTTGATCTTGAATGCTAAACTAGAACTGTATGCTTCCTTCTCAAAATAAAACCTGATGTAATTGGTCAGCTGATTAAAACATCGTATCCACGATGTTTGAAAGGCATAGCTTAAAAAATGGACGGGTATTCTGCAATCGCTCCGAATTATATGCTAAGATCTTTCTCCAACAATTTTCCAAAGTTTACTCAGAGCAAATTGTTCGGGAGAACGTTCCATCAAAACGACACAAGCTTACCAAGCTGATCCTTTTTGGCACCGAGTGAACGGCTAGACTGTTGCAGCAGGCACTTGCATGAAAAAATGATTTAAGAGCATGAACTAACATTGAACAATTTGCTGCTGTGTGTCTTTGTCAAATAAGGATTTTCATTTTGAAATCAAAGCTATATCATTGACAGTATACCATCAAAGTCGCACATATGGACCAAGTGACCAATTTCATAAAAAGTTTAGCAAAGGATATTTTTATAAAAATACAGTCCAACAAGTCCATTTTCCTTTCAAAAGTTTCGTAATGAAGATTTCTTTAAAAAAAAGTGCGATCGGAAGGGATTTGTAGCAACAAGCCATAGAAATCTTTGAAAGACTAGGATTTCGTAATAGAACTTCTAATGTTTTTGCCCGGTTCGTCCGCCATCTTGGATTCTTCTATCTGAGGTCAGATGCGCTAGGTATACATCAGCAATCTAGGTCTATTATATCTATAGTTTGGCCAGAGCCCCTCAGTGTGATCAGTGTTCTACATAGTTAGATGTATGTTGTTTATATAATGGTTTTTAAGTTACTTTTATATAATTGGGTTTTAAATTTTACGGTAATTTTGCAGTTAAAATGTTGTCCCAAGCAAGATGGGTACATAGTTGTAGTAAACATAATTTTTCACACTATTGTATGAGACCCGATTCTACCAATTACATAATAAGACCCGCAATGAATATGTTCACACATAAGAACGATAAAATAATGCAACGGGAGATAGTACAACGTTTACAAAGTGTTTTAGGGAATCAATCATGTAATGAACGACGTAGTCATAGAAGTTTTGAACATACGAAAACGATGATTGAGTTTGAGGAAGCTTTGTACAAGTTTTTTGTACATGCTAAACATATGTCGCGTTATACGAGTAGTGTGTGCTGACATCGAAACGGTACACTGTATGCTAATATAAAGTTTGTATTTGCAAAAACATCTACAAAATGGCATGGTGCAAACACGCCAGTATGTGGAAATAATGTTTATAGTTTTATTGTGTGGGATTATAGGTATTTCAAGTTATACTCGCAGGGTCGACTGTTTCATTTAATTTTTTTGACTATCGTTATACCGCAAATTATCCCGTATTGGGTGGTGAGACAATTGATTCGCGTTTTGAATACGTGTTTAGCAGAAACGTACGTGATATGGTGAAAGATGATATGGATGTCATACAAGAAGTTCTGCATCATACAGGTGTATTGGTTACACTGTATCTAGTTCAGTTGGCAAGATTTTTTCAAGAATGGCGACAGTAACTAACGATAGAAGTTTAAGTTTATTAGATAAATGGTTGGACACTGTTTTTAATAGTAGAGAATTTAATAACGCTTTAGAAATGTTAAAGATTAAAATGGAACATGAAAATAAGGGAGTTGACCATATTTGGTATAGGGTTATGTTTTTTAAATTTAAGGTAGTTGACTATATTTGGGCATGACCAAATATAGGGCTAGTATGTTTATATATATATATTAGATTGTTAGATTTTTGAGAGGTGGAATTAAAATGTCGCGTTCAGAGTATGATACAAGTGTTGTGTGTAAATGGAAAAAACGTGTGATGCGGTTTTGTGGTTATAATGAGCTTTATGTTATTAAAATACCCATTGTTGATTTTGAAATTGTGTTGCATGATATTATATCTCCAGGAGTTTGCTTACCGTTTACAAAAAATTTAGAGTTATACGATCGTTTTTATGTTTTACAATTTTGGAATTGTCTTGCTAAAAATAAACCTATAAATGAAATTTTGTATATTGGAGAGTTTGTAGATAAAATAATAGTGTCAGGGTACGATATTTCATATTTGACTAACATTCGCGAACAGAATAACAAAAAAAAAGAGAAAGCATGCCGATACCCGAAAGACCTGATGTGTGGAATGCGAACGAACTATTTGAAAACATATTGTCGCGCTATATCTGGCGATATTTACATATTCACTCACAGGGTAAAATTAACATAGGCGTGTGGCGAGACATGTTTGAAATGATACTGAAACAATGTTATCATAATATTTATGCTATTTATGAAGAGGTGTTTAATGCATGGAATGAGGATGAATCGTTAGAGTGTACGTATCCCAACGATGTTAATTGTGGACAAATGTATTATATGGCTATGAAGAAAAGACATTATCGTAGTTTTACCCGCGCAGTTCAACGATATGAAGGATGTAGACGAATATGTTGATAATATGTATTTGACATCTTAACAACTAACATATATCCATATTATTGAAGCTATGAAAAATATAATTGTTACTATAATAAAGAAGACTTGGAACTTTTCAAACTTTGTCCAACTGTAAAAAAAAAGACTGTAATAAATAAAACGTGTTGTATTAGTTTCATTTGTTGTTATAAAAAAAATAATACCTTGATCGTGTAAAAAAATGTGTGTTCACAGGCTCGTTGTTTTGTATACCATTCAACATTTTGGATTTTGACAAAATCCCTATAGCAAAGGTGAGGAGGGCCACGCTATGAAAATAAAAACGGTTTGGGTTATTTTTTTTGTAGTAAAGATAACTGATGCAAATAAATAATAGCACATACCGTGATTAGTTCCAAAGCTTTTTCAGGTTGTAATTTGTGAGGAAAATGTATAGTTTTCTTTATATTTGCAGAGAGTGTTACACAGCAACCTGTTGTTTTGTCAATTACTGTACCAAACGGTTGTAAAATAATTGATAGCAGGAATATTGAGCATTAAATAAAACAATACGATGATTTGTATCCAACGGTCGTATCGCAATATTATTTGGAACACTTATATCAACGTAAGCCATGATATACAATGATAGAATGATATAAAAATGTTTGGATCCTGTATTTATTTGTATAGTTTGATTAGACTTGCAGCATAACCATAACCATATATGGTCATACCCGTAAAATGGCCTCAAATAACATGGAAGATGTATGCGAGGAGTTACAAAACATTACTATGGAACAAGAAGAAGACATTGAGATTTGTTCTATTACAGCTGTGAATGGTGATAACGATTTAGAGGTTGAACCACCTTGTATATATCATCCTACGTTTGAAGAGCTGATAAAATCATGAGATGAAAGTGAAAAACATTTGAAAAAATATGTCCTTGGCATTTGGGTTTGTTTAAAGCGAAAATCGAAAATGAAGGGCCATGGCATAGTTGGGATTCATTAGAGAGTTTGAGCAAGACAGCAAAGTAAAAGACGAAGGCATACTTGACAATTTTTTCCGCCTGCATGCACATTATCTTGCGCATACTGAGTTGGACGTCACTGGTAGTTGCTCAACGTGTCTTCCCATGTGTCACTGTTTATGAATACTGACCATAATTCTTGCCCTGATCCAGAAGGGAACGAGGCACGAAACAATATCCTGTCTTTGTCCTTCTGCCTTCGTGCAGAACGAAGTTCACAACAAATTTTGCCAAAATATTCGTTGTGAACGAAGGCAGAAGAACGAAGACGGGATATGGATTCATGTCTCGCTGTTTTATCCTGATCAGGGTAAGGATTTGAGTCAGCGTTCACTGAATAGCTAGCCATGAATCTCTAATGTGTCTTCACTCCTGAACCTAACCTCAGAATGCGCAAGATAATGAGCAAGACAGGCAAAAATTGTCAACCACGTCGTTGTTGTCCGACTTCGTTCTCTTGCTCAAACTCTCTATTATCGTTTTTTAGATCAAAGTGTTCAAGCTATAATTATATATATGCATGTGTATCCAACCATAATACCAGTATCGCTACGTTTTAGAAAGACAATACATTTGAATAGCGATAGTCGATCAATGTTTAGATGGTAATAAAATATCGTGGTAGAGAAAACTAATTGGTTTGGGTGTTATAATGGATATAGTGAAATTGTAAGGTGTAAATTTGACGAAGCATTAACAAGATATGTTGAACTGTATTATAAACATTTGGACAATATTTTTAAAAAGTGTGACAAAAGTGCGTTGTGTGTGATGTAATGTATATAGTAACAGATCATAAAGATGAGTATTTTACAATCCATCGCTGCCTATACATATTAACTATTGCATATTTGCTAGTTACCAAATATGGTCATATTGACTTTTCAACACAGGATTACAAGTATTCTTATTTGGAAAAAATAACTGCTGTTACAAAGAAAGTTTGTGAATTTATTCAGGGTAATAAAGCAAAGGAATTTTTAACGTTGTGCGGTTTGTTTGTGGGTGTGACCTATATGTTGTTTAAATTGGTGTCTTCAACACTAGATTTCATTTCACGTCTCACATCTTAATAAGCAAAAATGGCTCAAGAAAATGTTGAAGTCATTGAAATGTACGAAAAACACAACGCTACCCACCTTAAGGAATTGGGTAGTTATGCTAATAGAACAAAAAAAATTTTTATGGTATGAACGATATTGTCAAAAGTGTTGCTTAGCGTCAGCTATACCAACCAGTACAGGTAAAAAAACCTGTACAAAATGAAATTTGCAATTAGTTTTCACAAGTTGATTGTAGTATATGAGTGTTTAGCAAAAGCTAAAAAAGGTGGCACGCATCATTTTGTAATATCTGAGGGTGAAGATTGGAAAAAGAACCCCTATCGGGTGGTTTAAAGGACAGCAAATATGGTGGTTTGATCCTCTGCCGTTTGAATCGTGAAACACCGTTGGACGATGTGGTCGGTGATGTGCCCGAAGGCGACGAAGACCCTGATATTACCGAAACGACCTTGGAATGTACAGAAAACATGTCCACCCCCGATGATTGGACCAAGGCTTGGGCAAAATTTTATATCTCAAAGAATGAAGATTGGGGTCATGTGGCAAAAGTACTGAAAACCTTCATTCAAGAAATTCAACATGAAATAAATGTTGATGATGAATCAGTTATTCCACCAGCAACCACCACCACCCAAACCTACCACTAGCAGCACCCCACCCTTCAAAGACAACACCAAAGTTCTCTCGAAAGTCCCATCGAAAATCGCTTAACTGCCCAAAAAAGGAAAAACGGCAAAAACAGCAGTGAAATGTAAACGTGTTGGGCTTGATTCGGATGACGAGGTATGTGTATACGAACTGAAAAATAGTATAGCGAAGTTATTAAAGTGTATGCTTGAACACCATGCAACAATAACATTTGATGAAGCTGTAATAAAATGTAACATCAAATACGAAAAAACCACAATTTTGAAATTCTTCGACAGTTTAGTGGTATGATTGAACATACTAATCAGAGACTTTACAATGTTAGCATATCGGGTAATGTGTCACCATTTGTTATATGTGAAGCTATTCTTTCTTTTTAGACTCGAAAAGCAATGTCATGTGTTATAGCTATTATGTATCAAAATGATATAACTGCAAAAGAAGCTGTTTTATCATATAGAAAGGAAATGGAAGAAGAGTTTCCATATGACTATGTAGAATTAATTAAGGAGGGTGATGATATAAAACTAGATGATATATATAAACAAATGGTAAATAAAAATCTGTTGTGTTGATTTTTTAGTCATAAAAGATGAGGAAACGTTGTGAAAGAAAGATTGACAAGGAACTGATTAAAAAATCATCATGTTTATTGAACAATTAAATAAACAACAAAAAGAAGCGTACTTGCTACATAGTCGAAAATTAACATGTTATAAACGTTTAGGTATTAATATATATAAACGTAATGCACAATGGAGTATTGATTTAGCAGATTTAAATAATTTATCAGGATTTAATAATCAATATCGATATCTACTTGTGTGTGTGGATGTTTATTCTCGTTATGCGTTTGTGAAACCGTTGAAAATGAAATCGCCATGAAATGGCCAATAAATTTGAAGAAATTCTAATTGAAGAGAACGAAATACCGCAAAAAATACAAAGTGATGAGGGTACCGAATTTGCGTTGCTGAAAAGGGATTTGTCTAAAAAATATGGTTTTACACTCTTTCATACCTATAATCGAGAAACAAAAGCTGTGCACGCTGAACGATTTATTGACACTATTAAAGCGATGATAAGTTGTTCAATAACGACTCTTGATCAGGGCTACAAGTATATTAAAAAATCTTCCATTCATTGTTGAATGGTATAATGAATCCCCACACAGAGGTTTATATAATTTAACACCTTTTGATGTATATAAGAAAGGTAAAGTACTGGATGCTTTTCAAAAACTAAAAAGCATTCTTAACAACAGCACTCCAACATTAGGGCTTTTGAAACAGGGTACTATTGTACAAATAGCACGAGTAAAAAATAATGTTTTTGAAAAATCAAGTTTACATCGTTGGGTAAAAGAGCGATTTCATATTAAAAAAGTGTACATTGCCGATCCTGTAACCTATATGCTCGAAGACTTAAAGGGAAAGGAGATCAAGGGTATATTTTATCATCGAGAACTACAGACAATATGAATTTGCAAATTGTAAGTAATGCTAAAAATCAAGTTGGTGGTACAAATTATACCAATGAATTTGTAATGCCTTTACCCACTCTCTTGGATGCTGAAAATAAAGAGATGTTTATGCGTGTTTTGAATATATCGTATCCGTTGACTATTGAAAATGTGCAAAAGGAACATTGTGGTATCTGTATTAAACTTAGTTTCCCGACCACTTCTGATTCCAGTATAGAGGTTAAATATAGAACCAATATGATGTATATTCCTGCAGGTTATTACACTTTGGAAAAATTAATACATGTTATAAATTAATATGTAGATGAATACGATGTGAATTTTAGAGTTCTACACGGTGGTAGAATTGGTGTCACCTATAATATCAAGCGGGAGTATTGGTTTTCAGATGAAACCATTAGAGTACCAACACGTATTCTAAACAAATCTTTCAAGTATTTTCTCAAACAACCAAGGAGGGTGACGAATTACAGAAACATTGCAGTATATATTAGGCATGTCGAAAATAAGAGTGCACCTCTTGGTAGAGGATTACAAAAAAAATTATTACGCTTGTACACGTTAAACTTTTGATAAGTTCCTAACTTCCTGTTTCATTGACCAACGAGAACTCAATTGTTGGAGATTACACATGGAAGATTACTTGCAATGGTACCCTTAAAACCCGAAGATCGAGGAAACGGTTCATTATGTAAGTACACACCACCGGCTATCAGACATAAATTAATTAAAAGTAGAATCAACCAATTTAATATCGGTTTATATGATACAACACATACATTAATACCATTCAGCGGTGGTACTGTTAATATCGAGTGTGTGGTGAAGGATAAAATGTTCAGGATAAAATGTTCAGGATAAAATGTTCAGGATAAAATTTCGAGTTCCGACAACTTCGGATAATAGACCTCCAGATCTTGTACCTATCGAATATAAATACACAAATGGTGTTGTTTCATCTGAATACTTGACGGGCAAAAAATCATATTTACGCCGTCCAAACACACCGGTATTGCAGGACATTTTTGTATATATACATCTAGAAAATTTGATTACTCAACTAAGTTAACCGGTGCAGAAATTAACGATAAAAAGGGGGTATTTTATGAGGGTAAAGATTATAAATATGCTCTGCTTCGTTTTAAATATACACATCATTATTATACTTTGCGAAAACGTCTATTATTTATTACAAACAGTGAGAGTATATCAAAACAATTGGTACTGCAATATTTGATTAATGTAAATAATGTTGGCAAATTAGATAAAACAGTAAAATTTTCGATAATATTTTATGCCACAGGAGATTTAGTTAAATAGATATAATGAAAGTTGATAATTCATTTTTTGGATTTACAATGGACAAAGACGCATATGTAAAATTATTGAAAGGTGGTGGTCAACAATATAAAAAACGGGTTTATATATCTTACCAGGCAAAGCAGCAACTGTTGAAGAGCATGCTGCAGGTAAAATTTGTGCACCCCCTAAACTAAATCCCGAATACGGTGTGAACCCTAAAATACAAAGAGTTGGAAAAATAACTCCAAAATCACAATCGGCATCACGTCAGCAAAAACCCGATATACATTCCGACGTATTACGATTAATTTATGGGGGTTGGTAAATGTAGAACATAAAAAAAACAAAAAGCAAAAATAAATGCGTTAAAAAACCTACATGGTTTTAAAAAACAGCATGGCAGATTGGGACCAGCTGCAGGAATGGCTATAGGGATGGCATTACCAATGTTATTAAATTCGGGTACACGTATTGTCGGTAGTTTATTTGGCAAAAACCCCGCTCAACGACCTGCACCAAGTGTGAATCAACGAGCACAATAACGACAATATAGACCCCCACCTCAACCACAATGGATGGTAGATCCTGCGCCGCGTAGATATAGACATAGACGTTATGATGATTATGATGATTATTAGAGATAAAAAAATAATGTAAAAATTTATGAATAAATGTTTCAAAAATAACACTTTTGTTTTTGTGTTTTTATTTTTAAAATTTACACGATGAAAAAAAAATTCATTTTTAGCTTGAACATCGTCAAGATGAAACGTGCACGTCAAGATGAAACGTGCACGTCAAGGCCCCGAAGCAAAACCTGTAGAAGAACATGATAGTGGATTTGTGGGTCCTATGACATTGTTTGATACTTTCCCGCATAATGATACGTTTCATGAAACACGTAATTTATCGATAATAGCATCACCTGTTAACAATAGGGCTGAAATCTATACATTTATGCATAATCGTCAGGAGTATGGGGTGTTAGACACACAAGATGCCAAGCTAAAAGCAAAATTATGTCTACACACTACTGGTACTGCCCCGGCTGCTGATCGAGTGATTAGTGTAAATATGGGACCATTGAAATTTGGTTGCAAACAAAAGAGTTTTACCTAAATAATCAATTAATTAGTCCACAATCAAGTAAAGAAAATGAGCTTGAATATATTCATCATTTACTCACTGCTGTACCCAGTGGTTATAAGCCGGAAGAAAGTATTACTCTTATGATACCCGATACACCAGGCTTTTTTGATAGCATAGCCAAGCTGGGTTGGAGAATCAAGGTGCCAGAAAAAGATATTTAAAATGTAATCAGGGTGTAGAATTTACATGTATAGATAATATTGATTTGTTGGGGCATAATAAATGTTATGTACCCACATCCTTTGATTTTAAAGTGGTTTTAACACGTTTGGAGCAAACAAAAATGTTATTGGGTAATGCTGCTCATTGTGCCGCTGTTGATCTTCATTATAATGATTTCTAATTATCCATACCCATATTAACTCATTAACGCCCAATGCGCCTGTATGTGCCCTGAGATTGACAAGTGGGTAACAGACAATGCGCCCTCAAATGACACCTCAACTTGCGGGCATGATATTTGAGCACATGTTTATCGGGTTACCTAGCAACGGATACGAAAATAGAACGTGAAATTCGAGCTTTTCAAGGGTGTATCATGCAAGAAAATTGGTCAGAAACCCACAAAGTTTTTCAAGTTTAAAACCTTAGTTTTTCAAAAATAATGAATAATGGACATATTATTGCAAAGAAGGATTTTAGAGCGTGATGTGTCTTTATATGTGATAAAACACGCTTCAAATTTCAACTTGTATTTTCTCAGCTAATACAAAATTATTTTGGTAAATTATTTCACCAATGCCGTGATCTAACTGAGACGTTTTTGAAGCCGTTTAATAAACTTGTAGTTTGTGTTTTATCACATATAAAACACTCCGCTACGCGTCGTGTTTCATATGTGATAAAACACTCCTACTTGTTTATTAAACAGTACTTTAAAAACTGATACCATCGTTGGCGTTGGATATATAATAACTAAATAAGTGAGAAAAGACAGCATATTATTAATTACCCTTTCTTTTGTATATTAAAATATTTAACTCATTAACTGGCAATGCGCCCGAATGCGCCCTGAGATTGGCAAGTGGGTAACTGGCAATGCGCCCGCATACACCCTCAAATGACACCTCAACTTGCGGGCATGATATTTGAGCATGATATTTGAGCACGTGTTTATCGGGTTGCCTAGCAATGGATACGAAAAGAGAACGCGAAATTCGAACTTTTCAACGGTACATCATGCAAGAAAATCGACCAAAAACTCGCAAAGTTTTTCAAGTTTAAAACCTTAGTTTTTCCAAAATAATGAATAATGGCGATATTGTTGCAAAGAAGATTTCACAGCAAGTTTTAAAAGAGAAAAAAGAAGACGTTTTTGAATGATTTACAACGAAAATTTGGCATGAAAGGAAAGCGAATGTATTGACGTTTTGGGCCAAGTTCTTCTGTCAACCATGCGCGAGATTTTCAGCCAAAAAGATGAGGATTTCTCCAAACTTTATTAAAAATAGAAGTCGGAAATCACAAGAAAGATGAACACGGAACACAAGTGAGCAGATACGATTTTTTAAAGGGTATTTTTGAGTAGAAATATGCGATCAAACACTCACAAAATTCGACCGCATTAATGTTGGTTGAATCTAGTTTAAAGTTAATATCTTTTTAGACAACTGTTTATGCAAATTTGGGCACAATTTCGACTGTTTTCTGTTGGTCTTCTTGTTCAAGTTGTTATTTAGCTAAAGTATGTTTCAAACCACACCAGATTGTGCGTATGTGACCTTTTTGACCTTTTTGGCAAGAATACTTTGAGTATTAAATTACACTAAATAAGTAGGATATTCCAAAATCACTGTTATATCTAGTTTCATCAATTTAGTCTTAAAATGACAACTCGTTTCAGACATATTGTGGTTTAAAATAAGTGTATTGAATAAACACGCTTGCTTGCCACAATGGCATTCTCAAAAAGTTTGCACTTGAGTTGTAAAGCTTTCAAAATGCTTTTTTACTGGTTTTTATATAAATCGATAAAGCAGAAAATAATGTTGATGAAACAATCAGAAGAAAAAGTTATCAAAATAGGTCACGACGGTTGTTTGGCAAAATGTTGCTTCTCTCTGAAATGGCTTCCTTTGCGGGAAGCCATGAAATTGAAGTCCTAACAAAAACTAACTTAGCAGTTCTTTTGGGCCCATTGCTCACTTATTTATCATGAAATCGCTTCACTAGAACATTTTTAATACTGTCTATGGAAAACTTTGTAATTTTCTAAACTGAAAGTTTATGGTTTCGAGGTGTTTATTTTATAAAATAGCACACGCAACAAAATGGCACTAATGTGGTTTCTCACGTCTGACAAACAACCAAATATGAAAGTCCTTATTTCACCTTTTTATAGCTATGTGGAATACCTGAATATTAGGTTTATCTTTTTCATGTGAGCATATAGATAACATTTCTACACAATAGTCCTTATGAAGGCTTATTTCAAACTAAGAAAAAGTGATTGTTTTTCAGAGCCAGATTTCAAAAGAGAATGTGTGTCTGACATTTTATAGCAGTCTACATTGGCACACAAAATAATTTTGGCTAAAAACCGTTGCTTTTCCAATAAAAACATGAGAAAATTGAGCTAAAAGTCTTACCTGATGTATGTTTAAAATGTTTTTCTTTTTATGGTGTTTTTCAGTGCTTTGAGTAGAGAGGTTAATAGCTTTTGGTTTTGACACCACAATTTGCCTTTGAAAATGTCGGCTGTCATTGTCTGTGTTAAAAACACCTCAGAAAATTCCTATTTTCTCACCTTCCCATCCTTGGTTTATATTGAAAATAAATAGATTCTAGTACCATATGTCCTTATAAATATATTTGAAGTAATTAAAAACTTGAAAGATGTACAAGCACTGTGTTTTGGCTTGCACACTTTATTGAATTTGAACACTTAGTTACTGTTCTAAATTTCATGTTGTAGACATCTTGCCCAAAAAAGCAAAGGAGTATATTTTATAATTTTTGATCACTTTCTAATTCATATCCCAATAGATGAAAATTGGTTATAAAATAGATATGTACTAATTTAGTGAATTTTTTTTTGTTTTTATATAAATTTATGGAGATATTGTCCCTTTAGGTGATGAGTGACATGAAAAACAAAATGTCAATGCTTTACAAATGAAAATTCTCATTGAAAAAACTAATGATATATATAGGTATGCAAGTTCATTTAAACTAAATTTGGTCAATCATATATCAATATTTGGTTGAAAAGACCAGATTTTTTCATGCAACTGTTTCTGAGATATTGGCATTTTGGTGAAAGCTCTTGAATTCAATCACATATTCGCTATATTGCTTGCACGTTGGGAGGTAGAAACATTGTAACAGCTTGTGCGTTAACCAATTAAGCGCCTGCGCTCTGCCCTTGACGAGTAAAATACTCTGGCGTTAGACAGAGTAAAATACTAAAGTAGGGTGCATCAGGGTGCAATGCTACTCAATGGGTTAACTAGACACATGGGCAGATAGGCCAGTTAACCCATTGAACGAAATTTCATTGCATTTTAACGGAACTTCGCATTCCGTTGAATGGTTCAGTCATTGTTCGTGGAGAAATATGTTCATTTTGGTTTGTGACACTTCACTTTGGGAATCACAGAAATATTAAATGTCAGGAATTATCAGTTTTTTTATGTATTGATGATAAATTATATAAATATAAAATATAAACCTCCCGGCTCTTCGACATTTTCAAAGTCTAGTGATGAGAATCAAGGAATTTATTTTATATGGCCTGATATGAGTTTATTGGCGAACTAATTTTAACTATGAACATTGCCCATTCTGTGAAAATCAAAGCTCAAGTTTATGTAAAACTGAACATAAATTTTTCATCACATATAAAACAACAGTCACCGACGTGGTAGTGATGTCCTTTGGTTTTTCCTCATGAATTATTGATAAAATAATTCAAAAATATATAACATTCGTAATTTTAAAACATTGGCAAAAACATGGAGAATTTCAAAGCGATCATTGAGCTGCGCTCTCCATTTTCAATAAAATTACTCGGTCACAGGTACGTTTTGATCCATCTCGAGCGAATCAAAAGCTTACTAAGTAGAGAAGATGCTGTTGCCAGCCGCCTGGATATGAGATCTTACAGGCAGTACGTGGATGAGCTGGAACATAACTGGGATGACAATATTTACATGGGCTGTTGTGTGGTGCGGAAGGATGACCTGGCAGAAAAACCTATAGCCGTGGCCATTGCCTCTGCAAGGGAACACAGGGAAGATGTTAGGAGGCCGACGGAACTCAATTGGCAAAGAACCGAAGCCTACAGGGACAAGGAACAACAATGGTGTTTGGATTATTTGGTGAGGGCCAGGCAGTGTCTGGGGTAAGGGGGTTGATTGCTTTGTACTTGTTGGGTTGCTGGAGTGTTTCTGCAGTCAACTTGATGATTGGATGTTGTGGCTGTTGCTGGCAGGCGGGTTCTCCAACAGAAACGCACTCTCTTTGTACACAGATGTTGGGTTTCTTGTCACGTCACTTGACTCTGACAAGAATCCCATCATGTCGTTACAAGTCCATGACATCGGACAGAGAGCGCGCAGAAAGTTGGTAGACACCTTGACCTTAAGGCACAGACAAGGTGATGGTGGTGGTGGTGGTGGTGGTGGTGGTGGTGGTGGTGGTGGTGGTGGTGGTGATGGTGGAGATGGTGGTGGTGATGGTGGTGGGGGTGATGGTGGAACACCTGCGAAGAGGAGGAAGGCAAATTGGACGGAGAGGAGATGGTCGTCAATGACGTGGGAGATGATTTGGCGCAGGTGGTAGAACCATGCTTATGTTTTAGAACAATGGAACAACAACTTACTTTGTCTAACATGCAGCTGGTTCTACCTCCTTGCGCTGAAGGCCTTGAACAAGATCTTGTCAGGCACCTCTGGTCCATGTCGGAAATGGCCACCCTCAATCCAGGTTCGCAAGCCTTTCTCATCCACCTGAACCTCGCCAAGCAGTGCCATCATATTGCTCATCAAAGGCGTCTCCATGTGTCCAGATGAATAACGGAGCAGAGGGCAGAACATCGCAAAGACGAACAATGGAACCGGCGTTTTGCTTCGCTGGCAAACAACGTCTTGCTGCTATGGGGTGTGTTTACCATGCCATGTTTAGAATTGCTGGACATCGGCTATGCCACAGTGCATTAATTATTTTAATACCTAATATGGCACTATTTTTTTAAGGTACAGCTTGCTTCTGGAGACATCGTTCCCTGAGCTGGCCATCGGGGATGGAGATGGTTTACGCGGAGTGACGATACTTCACATGCGAGGTTGGCTGGACGATGGCGATGTCAAAGTGGACAAAGCGCTGTCTACTTTGCTCTGGCAAAACATCAAACGTAAGATTGGCAGGCGTGAACAACTGCCCAGCACACAACATAGATCCAGAATTGTCGGTTATGACATGCAGGGGGTAAAAAAGCACGCCTACTATAATATAGTACTTAATTGCAGTGCTTGTGCATAATAAGATATGTGTGCCGCCGCCCTTAGCTGGGTAAGGTAAAAATTACATGCGCATGACTTATCTCATTCTAGGTCTGTGCCGAGGCTGCCTGCCATCAACATTATGCCGAGCAAGGAAGACAGTGGCTGGAATCGAGGATGAGGCGACTGCGGCAAGATGGTGATCGTGATGAGGAACAACATCTTCTGCTGGACGTATTTGATGTCGACCAGTACAGACGTCTGCTGGCAGACATTCGCGGCATGCAGGTAGGAGAGACGGGGAACATTCTGCAGCGTTGGACACTTGCAGAACAGTGTGTCCTGGCTGGCTGGGCGCACACAACACCACTCTATGTTCTTCCAGATCGTGTTGCGCAGGCGCTACAAACTTCGCGAGGGGCCTGGAAACAGATGAAAGGTCTTTCCAAGGTATGTACTGTAAAACACAGAGGATTGATGGTGTTTGTCTAAAATCCGTTTCCAGCCAGCCGATAACTTCATGAAATAAAGCATAAAACAAACTCAGCAACTTCAAGATGATGGAAGCGTTCTATTCGGAGTATGTTTTATGCTTTATTTCATAGTTATTATGATTTTATTTCAGCTCCTTACTTGTGCAGGATGCAGCACCGCGAGCAGGTTCACAGAGAGGGGCGAAGAAGAGTTTTCTGAATGCCACAGTAGTATCAATATAAGGTACGATTGACTGCGATAATAACGACTCAATGCATTAATAAGAAAACAAGTATTAATCAATATTACATAATGTCAACTATCATGAACTAAAAAGATTTATAATCACTATTTTGCAGCTTTCAGTTCATCGCATCCTCGTCCACTGTGGTTGTATACATGCAGTAAAACCCCGCATGCTGTATATAAAAAAACTAAATAGTTTGAATAAGATATGTACTATCATGGACTGTAAAATAACTGGATAGGATAAGTCTGTGCCGAGACTGCCTACCATCAACATTATGCCGAGCAAGGAAGACAGTGGCTGGAATCAAGGATGAGGCGACTGCGGCAAGATGGTGATCGTGATGAGGAACAACATCTTCTGCTGGACGTATTTGATGTCGACCAGTACGGACGTCTGCTGGCAGACATTCGCGGTGTGCAGGTAGGAGAGACGGAGAACATTCTGCAGTGCTGGACACTTGCAGAACAGTGTGTCCTGGCTGGCTGGGCGCACACAACACCACTCTATGTTCTTCCAGATCATGTTGCGCAGGCGCTACAAACTTCGCAAGAACACCTTAACGGTGCAAGGGGCCTGGAAACAGATGAAAGGTCTTTCCAAGGTATGTACTGTAAAACACAGAGGATTGATGGTGTTTGTCTAAAATCTGTTTCCAGCCAGCCGATAACTTCATGAAATAAAGCATAAAACAAACTCAGCAACTTCAAGATGATGGAAGCGTTCTATTCGGAGTATGTTTTATGCTTTATTTCATAGTTATTACGATTTTATTTCAGCTCCTTACTTGTGCAGGGTGCAGCACCGCAAGCAGGTTCACAGAGAGGGGAGAAGAAGAGTTTTCTGGATGCCACAGTAGTATCAATATAAGGTATGATTGACTGCGATAATAACGACTCGATGCATTAATAAGAAAACAAGTATTAATCAATATTACATAATGTCAACTATCATGAACTAAAAAGATTTATAATCACTATTTTGTAGCTTTCAGTTCATTGCATCCTCGTCCACTGTGGTTGTATACATGCAGTAAAACCCTGCATGCTGTATATAAAAAAAACTAAATAGTTTGAATAAGATATATACTATCATGGACTGTTAAATAACTGGATAGGAAACTTCCTGAAATCACAGTCTAAACCTAGTTGCAATCTGTGACTTCACACGCGCATTGCCAAAGTTCTCAGCATTTTTTTGTTTCGCTATATTTTCCGCTTTAAATGAGCAATATTGAAGCATAAGCTGGTCTAATTGTTTTAAAAACATGCCTAAGCCACGACAAAGTATTCAAAGCAAATGTTTTTCATCTTTGTTTTGTATTTTTTTACATGTAGCTATGAGTCGCCAATTTTAACGAAGTTTGCGATGCATTTTTCACTATTTAGTACTTGAAATATTTGCTAAAATTGACTGGAATCATGAGTTAAAACCAAGTGCTCAATTAAATGTCACTATTAATGAGTTGATGATACAAAAGAATGAAGAATGCAGATTTTATCGTACAAATTATCGTTATGTGGCATTCCCGATACCGGTAAATAGTCAACATATTGTCCACAAAGATATATTTAACGGTGCTCGTCCTGGTCGACTAATTACAAAAATTGTGTCACAAGACCGATATAATGGGGCATACACCCTAAACCTATTTCATATCGTGTTTCCAGATATCACAAATTTTACCATCACCATTAATGAAGCTGAAATACCCCCTGTTTATCACAATTCACAAGAGGCGTACATTAATTTATGACAAATTTTGGATCGTCGGTATAGCGAAATGTCATTTTCTTATGATGATTATGTTACAGACTATGGAATCATAGTCAACGATTTATCCCCAAATTGCGATGGTCATTCTCAAGTCTTACTAAATTCAACAAGTGGTAATGTCGGTATCAAATTAGATTTTAAACAAGATACCGCTGCTGCACAACAGCTTATTTGTGTAGGAAAATTCTGCAATCAATTGAGTGTAGGTTATGGTACACAAGCTCATTTAAAATATGTGTAAAAAACATATAAGCTCATGTTGCATTATGGATCGCATACATAAGACATTAAAAAACGGTGCTGCAAAGCAAAAGGAATCTTTTTTTGTCAACCACGACCGTATTGTTTTTTCCAACATCTGTTAATATTTTTCATAATATCGGTAATCGAATACCTTTATTTCAAGCATTCAACTCAATATCTCGAGTTTCGGTATGATTATTGAAAACAAGATGATACATGCTATCATAGACAATCAAAGGAATGGACTGGAAACGCTAGGCAAAACGCTATGATGCGAACGTGGCATCCGTGATATGGGCTAGCACGTATCAATTGATCAGTTGCCGTGGCAACTGGCCTGTAAAAAAGTTTAAAAAATGTAGATTTTGCATATATTTTTCCCTTTTTTTTAACAAACGCAAAGGTAAAAGATATTTTTTGGCGGTACCAAAAGCAGAGAATATATGCCAAGGTGAGTACGTGTATATTTTTAATTTTCCCTATAAAAACAATCATTATAACTTCGGTTTTTCACAACGTTGACAAAACAATTACGCACGTATATTACATCTCTCCCTGTGTGGTTATATTTCGAACCCTGGAACTTGGCGACAAAGCTGTCACTTGTCTGCTAAGGCATATAGTTATACTCTCATATGTAATGTTGATTCCACTAGGACGTTCACAAATCCCTGCGATATACAAATTTTGTAATAAATATATTTTTTAACAGCTCACCTTGCGCGACTACGAAAAGATGTCAATTTTTGTTGTTCTAAATCCGAACCCTGTAACTACAGTTTTAAAAGAGTTTGGGATTTTAAGGTTACATATTTTGAACAAGAATAGACTAATGAGTTCCACTATCGCTTTTTTAAACTTCTTTTTGGCAAAACAAACTCAAAAATCAATATTGAATGCGTGTGCACTGTCTTTGAAAACACAAATGTCGCTATTTTTGTTTTTCGAGTATACACTTACTTCGAACCCTGTAACTACAGTTTTAAAACAGTTTAGGATTTTAAAGTCACATATTTTGAACAAGAATAGACTAATGAGTTCCACTATCGCTTTTTTAAACTTCTTTTTGGCAAAACAAACTCAAAAATCAATATTGAATGCATGTGCACTGTCTTTGAAAACACAAATGTCGCTATTTTTGTTTTTCTAGTATACACTTACTTCGAACCCTGTAACTACAGTTTTAAAACAGTTTAGGATTTTAAAGTCACATATTATTATTATTATTATTAAAAAAAAATATTTACACAGGATAAAAAAATGCTTCAGTGACTATTCACTGCTATCAACGCATGTCCTGTTTACCTAAAACTACTAAAAATTATGAGTGTAAAAAGTCAATATATTAAAAATATTAAAAATCTAACTGCAGTCAATTCTGCAAAGGATTATAATGAACCTTAGTTCTCTTTCAGTTTTCGTTTAAAAAGCATAAAACTGTCAATTTCTCTAATATCTTTGGGCAATTTGTTGAATTCAATTGCTCCATTATAATAAAAGGCATGCTTTGTGGATTCCAAGCGTATTTTGGGAATCCTGACAATTATTCCGTTATTCCTTGTGTTTTTTACATGTTGTAACCGTTCAAAATAACTGTGAAAGTTACTACACACATTCCTGTCCATGCATTGTTTCACCAGGAAACACGTTTGCAGCTTTGCAAAGCTCATCAGGTCAGGTAGTCTTAGATCTGCCGATTCACTTGATTTTATTACTCTAGAAGCTCGATCCTGGAGATTTTCAATTCGTGAAGTTTGGGTGGCATTCAAGTTTAGAGTAACAACACTGGAATATGTTAGTAGTGGCATTATCATGCATTTGTATATAGATTCAGCAGCGTCCATAGTTAGAGAAGATCGTATTTTCTTAAGCAACCTTAACCTGCCAGATGCTTTCCTAAAAGCCTGACCAAAATGTTCTTTCAGGTTTACATTCTGGTCCACCAAAACTCCAAGATATCTATATTTGGTTGTGAAATTGATCAGTTTATCGTTTAGATATACTCTTATGGGGTTATTTTGTATTCTTCGACTAGTTCCCAGTAACATAGACTCAGTTTTTCCTTTGTTGAGATTTATGATTAGATCGTTCTCATCTAACCATTTAGTAACAACTTGCATTTCACTTGTAAGTTGATTTTCAATTTCAGAAATATCTTGCCCAGCCAGGAACAGAACTGTGTCATCAGCATACTTTATGATTTGTGCACTAATGAGATGGTCATCGATATCGTTAATGTACAATATGAATAAAAGAGGCCCCAAGATAGACCCTTGGGGTACTCCTGATGTAACTTTGAATTTCTCTGATAATGAACCATCGAAGCTGACACATTGAGATCGATTAAACAAGTAATTGGTAAACCATTCCAACTCATATGATTTAATACCAAATCTTGTTAATTTATTTAGCAGATTAGAGTGGGACACAGTGTCGAAGGCTTTGGATAGATCAATGAAGACCATTCCTGTTAGTAGTCCCTTATCCATATTCGCTCGAACTTTATCCAACAATAGTGTCACAGCTAATTGCGTTGATCGTTTTGGTCGAAATCCAAATTGAGAATCGTTTATCAAATGATTGATCTCTAAATAATTCATCAGTTGATCATGCACTATTCGTTCCATGACTTTTGTGACAGCCGGTAATATCGATATAGGACGGTAATTGTCAAAATCATTGATGGGCCCTTTTTTGTGAACTGGGATGACTTTAGCCACTTTCCATTCGGAAGGTATAACTCCAGTACATAAGCTCATATTTATTATATGTGCCAGAGGATTTTTCACAACAGTCGAACAGTCCTTAAGTATTCCAGGAGGGATATTATCAATACCAGCAGCTTTTGATCGTTTTAATTGATTCAATTTCTTTTCTATGTGGTGTTCAGTGACTGGTATAAACTGAAAGCTCAAGTTAGTTTGGGTAATGGGTACATGCCGATGACCCCAAACAAAGTCTTTCAGAGGACGGGATTTTCGTTTTAGGTTGTCTACGACAGTCGAGAAGAATGACCCAAATGCATTTGCTATACA